GAAGCAGCTCCAGGCTCTGACCCTGACACGGGGCTCGAACCCATGAACCGCGAGATCATGACCTGAGCCGAAGTCGGACGCTTAACTGACTGAGCCACCCAGGTGTCCCTCTCTCTCTCTCTTTTTTTTTTATATGCTCTTGCAAAAATGATTCATGGCTTATATTTAATGCACTCAAATGGACAAGGCTTTCATATCTCATCCCAGTGCCTATGTTCTCCCCCGGCACTGCCGCCGTGGCTGCTAATTGCTCTTTTTCCTCCATGGTGTGGGTTCCCTGCCTTTAACCTGCCCTCCGGCTTCGGGGCGGGCCACCCAGGTGGCCTCCAAGTAACACACACATGCCCAGGAGCAGGAGCCGTACTTTTGGGCCCTAAGTGTGTTTAACTGGACTCTTCTGTTACACTTGCTCCTGAATATTTACTAAGGAAATAATTTTTAGGACCCACGGAAGCAGCTCGCTTTGGGGTGGCGTGGAGGGTACGCACGTGTTGCCAGACCCTGCTGGGGTTGCCCCAATTAGCAAATACAAATACAGTTTTCCTGGTTGAATTTGAGTTTTTCATAAGCAACAGATACTTTTTTAGTATATTACATCCCTTGAGGCACCAGGCTTAGTCAGTTAAGCGTGTGACTTCGGCTCAGGTCCTGATCTCACGGTTTTTGGGTCCAAGCTCCACGTCGGGCTCTGTGCTGACAGCTCGGAGCCTGGAGCTGCTTCTGATTCTGTGTCTCCCTCTCTCCGCCCCTCCCCCGCTCATGCTCTTCTCTCTCTCTCTCTTTCCCAAAAAGAAACGTTAAAAAAATGTTTAGTATATGAACATCCTGTAGTGTTTAGCGATACGTATACTTAAAAAGTATTTGTTGTTTATCTGAAACTTCAATTTCATTGGGTGTCCTCTGTTTTATCTGGTGACCCCACCTGCCTCCAACACGTTAAGATTATTTGACTCTTCTCAGTTTGGGGAACAGAATCACAGAAACCACCATTACACGTCAAAATGGGGGAAATTCCATAAGTGCCTGGTTAGCAGTGGCGAAATATATTGAGGAAATCCGTACAATGAAATTACAATAAACATTTATTAAGCTGCAATTTTCACAATATTTTCATTCTGTTCTGAAATCGGTCTACAGAACACTAAAGCCAGTGATTTAATAAATAAGAGGAATGTATGTATCATTTTGCAAATAAAAGGAGCCTTATACATTTAGGTCTCTATTTGATACTCATAGAATATCTTCTATGGAACTAAAGTGTGCACACACCACGGACACACGCACACCACCGTATTCAAATCAGATGGATTTATATTAAGTGTGAAATCAAATGCTCTATAGAATTTATAACCAGATACACAAATTAGGAACTGAATCGTGAACACACTGTTTGGTAATGGACACCATAACCTCACGAGTATGATTTCCAGTTAAGAGGGAAATAAATGATTGCTTTGCTGGATTTTAAGTGAGCGCAAATCACCGTCACCGTCACGAGAAATCAACTGAATTACACGGTACCCAGGGATTGAACACACATGCGAAGGTTAAGCCGACACTACAGTAAAATCTTGACATCTGCAATATGACATTGGAACATATGGTCAATAACACCATTAGCTGCCACGCGTCTTCTGTAGACGATGCGGATGACATTCAGCGTTTCACGCGGCCACCTCAAGGGGAAAACTGGTCCTGGTGTGTCCCCGCAAAACCGAGGAATCACTGAGGAGCAAAGCACAAAGCTCAGGATGCTGAACACAGTTTGCTTATCCCAGATACTGCATATCACAGGGACAGCTGTCCGTTGCGGATTGTAAGGGCACTATGTTAGATCCTGCAAAAACTATGTATTTCTATCACTCGCTATTCGCAAGTGAGGAGCGAAAGGTCCAAGACTCAAAGGACCATAGACAAAACTTTGCAGAATGGAGATATTATTTTTTTCTTTTTTCATTTGGGGACGAGGGGGTGACACCTTAGGAATGCCTTCTGACACAAGCTAGCTGGATGGCCGGAGCTGGCTTTTGGGGCACATCAGGCAATTCGAGCCCCGTCAGGGAGAAGCAAACGGATGCCCTTCATCTAAAGCATCTTGGGAAGTACCAGGAAGGGTAGAAATGAGGGGGTCCAGGACCCCCGCTAATGACGCCATGTTAACCATGTGTCTGATCCCGCACGGGTCCTGTGACACGTTTGTGGGCTGGCAACCAAAATGGTTTACGTTCCCCCCCCCCCGCCAGCCCTCGCGGGCGCAAACCCCCTTACGGTCCTTCTGACAGGTGCCCCCCAGCCTGCACGTGTGCGCCTGGCACCCGGCAGGGAACGCTCAAACCGGCTACTTCCCACCACCGCGGCGACGCGGTGTAGACACACGCCCTCTCTGCCCCCCGCCCCTGCGTGGGACCGGCTTCCGGAGGCCCTGCGTGGCTTGCTGTGCCCCGCCGCTTTAGGAAACTGTGTTAAAATCCTTCTTTCAATGCCACTAGCCTCTGTGCTGTCAGCCCGTTACCTTGATACGCGAAGGCCCCGGCACAATTCACAAGACCAGCTTTCAAGAAATTCTGTTGCTACATTTCGTCACCAGAAGTGACGGGAGTGTCACTGAAACGTGGAGCCGAAACCCTGCAGGGGCCAGGGGCCGCTGACCCTGATGGGTGTGGGGAACGTATTTACAGAAGGCTGACGGGCCGCGAAGCGTGTCAGGGAAGAGGTCCCTCTGAGCACAGCCTGCGGGAGATCCCTACGAATCCAGCGATCTGGAGATCATTGGTCCGTCTCTTTTCTGTCCCTGGTGGTGGGTGTGTGACTGACACACTGGGAAATAAAAACTGATGGGCGTTAAGATATCTAGAAAACAGAGTCTTAATTAGAACCCATCCGCGGTACTTGTCGTCAGGCTTTCTTATATCACACTGAATGGAGTGTTGCGTTAACATATTCTACAGCCCGGAAGACATTTAAAAAAGGTTTCTCTTCCGGGCATGAGATATGGTACAAAAATACATTTTTTTCCCATGTACAAAAGAGAGAGGAAAGAAAGATCTGGGGACTGGTGGGGAAGGCCAAGTACCCTGACAAGCATCCACGGGACGGAAAGAGAAAAAACAAAATCCCAAACTATTAGGGGTTAAAACTATGTGCCCAAAGCAGAAGTCAAATGTATGCATGAAAAATCCCGAGTTGTTCAGATCTAACATCTGCGCTTTCCACCAGAATTCCAAATAATGTTCGGCCCTGAAGTGACGCTTCTTTTCAACCGAGGCTCTTTCGTTAGGAACGAGGCCATCCTTCATCGGAGTGCATGGATTCCAACGGCGCCATCTGCTTGCTGCTCACGCCCCGACGCGCCGGTGCCCAGCTGCGTGCGCCTCCCTGGATCTACCAGAAGTGAAAATGGTTTTCCTGTTGATCCCAACACAGCACGGTGCCCTTCAGGGTCCTCGGGGGAACAGAGTGGATAGCCCATCCGGACCAGTGATGGTCCAGGACTTACGAGCTTTGTGCAGAGAACGCCACGTCCGCCCTGGCCAACGGGGACGAAGCAATGCTTTAGTATCACAACGTGTCCCACACATGAGAGCCAAATGCACAGAAGGAAGGAAGGCAAGGACGGCGTCCCCGGGGGGTATTTTTTAATACCTTGTGCTAAAATAGATTCGCCTCCAAGCATCTAACTGGCAGGGCTTCAATTCAGAAGCCACGGGCTCCCCAAATGCCCCCCAAGAAACGTTTGCCCGGGTGGACCCCGGAGAACAGACATGCGTTTCAGGAAGTGAACTGAATGCAGCAAAGTTTGGGTCCCGTTATGTGCACCTTAAAAACAGGGGTTTCATGAACATTCTAAAAAACACCCGCTCCAGGTTTCCGGACACTTGCAACCAGAAATAAAAACTTCACGGAAACACCACACGGGACTTAGCAGAAGATGAGTGTTTCTCCGGAATGATGTGTGGACCACAGGGTCTTGGTTCTACCTGATCTGAAGTGTTGGGGGGGGGGTCTCTGCAAATCTGCATACAGGGGCTCTGTGGGGGCTGCCGGGGCACGTAGGTGGGCAGAAGGATTATGGTGGCTGGGACTTCCTTTCCTTGTTAACGTGTTTCTTGGTGCTTACCTACAGGCCTGGGGGGGGGGGCCTCCACTGGGGCGCGTGCATCGACCCTTGATCCAGCCTCGAAAGGCGCCCCCATCGAGGACCGCCACCGCTGTCCACCCGGGGTGTCCCTCTCTGCCCCAAGGCGCCACCTAAAATGAGGGCGCTGCAGACCTCAGACAGAAAGCACCTAACGCACGGATTGTAGAAATTTCAGAAGAATTCGGATCTTCTCCCAGGGTGTTTATTGCTGCGTATCGCTCCTGAGAATGGCTTACAGGCAGCAGGAGACTTGAACATGTTATTAGCTGCTATCGTTTGTTTTAATTCCGAGGTCCAGAGTAGACCCACACCAGAACGACACAAATAAACACCCTTGAGAGTGAACCTTTTTCTCTACAGATCTCGCGGGCAAACGGTGACACTGGGCAGCAGCCAGACAGCGAGAGCTTTGGTGCTCAGCCAGGGCAACAAACCCCAAAGAGATTTCTTTGTCTCGTCCTTGAATTTTCTTTACAAAACGTGGAGGTAAAATACATCAAAGTTTAGAAAGGGAAAAAACAAACCAACCAACCATCTTGGGTTTTCTATGAATAACGATCTCTTCCTCCATTTAGAAAATATAATTGACGGGGGCCCGGCCAGGGTCACGAGGACCCAGAAGATGTCTAGTTTCGTCCCGGACCCCGGCCGCCCACATCCAGAAACAACGACCTCCATCGGCTATGTCACCACCAACCAAAAACGACATAAAATGAAGTTCACGGTTTTGGAATACGAAAACAACGCACCGAGACCTCACCCACTGAGCCCTGCGCCGCGACGGCAAACAGCAGCGTTGGGACTTTTCATCTAAAACGTCCAATTAGCCTAGTCTTCCCCTCGATGTGAAGTTCTATTAAACTTGACTTTGATCTGCCTTTATTAAAAAACCTTACAAAAGATGTAGTAGTTCAGGGCTTGAAAAAATTAACTTTATGCACTATGCACAGATAAACTCTTCCTGTACAGCTAATATGGTTATATCCTTTGTTTTAAAAAATATGTTCCCCCCACTAATGACGCTCGGCGGGCGGTTCTACGCACGGGACCCCGTCACTCCCCCGGGAGCGCGTCCGCAGGGGCGACACGTGGCCGGAAACACCCTCGGCAAGCGCCGCTGCCCTCGCTCCGGAATGTTTTATTACGACTGCTTGGCGCTGGCTGCTCCGGCTCTTTTCCGCCGCCTCCTCCTCTGCTTGCCGAGGCGGGGCGCGGGGGGGCCCGGCCGGCCGGCTGGTTGTCACTTGCCGTTGGCGCGCTCGAGGCTCTCCAGCACTTTGTTGAGGCGGATGTTGAGCAGTCTGACCTGGCTCTCCAGGTGCTCCAGCTTCTCCTCCACGCCGGGGCCGCCGGGGCCGCCGCGCCAGCAGGGGCCCATGGGCCCGGTCATGAAGTAGACGGCCACCACGAAGCACAGGGGCAGCACGGCGCCCTCCGGCTCGCCCTCGTGCTTGTGCAGCACGTACACGCACGACATGGAGAACAGGACGACCCGCGCGATCCAGAAGAAGCGGCCGAACAGCACGTGCAGGAGGCTGGAGGTGACGCCCAGGGCCAGCGACAGGAACCAGTACGCCAGGAGCACGACGCCCACCAGCAGGAGCGCGCGGGCCGGGCTGCCGGCCACCGCGGCCGGGCTGAAGTGCTGCGGCAGGCTCGACACTGCGGGACAGAAAACAGGGGCAGCGGCGGTCAGCGGGGCTTCTCTGCGGGGGGGGGGGGGGCAGCTCACTTGAAGGCCCTGGGGGAGCTGGGGCCCCTCAGAGACCACCTGCCGTACCCGGAGTTGCTTTTTTTTTTTTTTTTTTAATTTTTTAATGTTTTATTTATTTCTAGGAGAGAGAGAGACAGGGTGAGCAGGGCAGGGTCAGAGAGAGAGGGAGACACTGACTCTGAAACAGGCTCCAGGCTCTGAGCTGGCAGCACAGAGCCCGACGCGGGGCTCGAACCCATGAACCGCGAGATCATGACCTGAGCCGAAGTCGGACGCCCAACCGAGTCACCCAGGCGCCCCGATATTGAGCACCTTTTTATGTAACTGTTGGCCGTTTGCTTTTTGGGGGGTTTGTACATGTTTATTTATTTTGAGAGAGAGAGCATGCACACACGAGCAGGGAGGGGCATAAAGAGGAAAGAGAGGATCCCAAGCCGCCTTCACTCTGTCAGTACAAAGCCCAACGTGGGGCTCGATCTCAAGAACCGTGAGACCGTAATCTGAGCTGAAATCAAGAGGAGGACCTGAACCGACTGAGCCACCTGGGAGCCCCATTAACTATTGGCCATCTCCATATCTTCTTTGGAAAAATGTCTGATGGGTCCTTTGTTTATATTTTAATCAGACTGTGGGTTTCTTGCTATTGAGTGTAGGAGTTCTTTATATATTTTGGTTATTAACCCCTTATCAGACATATGGTTTACAAATTATACTTTTCATTTTTTTTTTAAATGTTTTATTTATTTCTAGGACAGAGAGAGAGAGACAGCATGAGCAGGGGAGGGTCAGAGAGAGAGGGAGTCACAGACTCTGAAACAGGCTCCAGGCTCTGGGCTGGCAGTCAGCACAGAGCCCGACGCGGGGCTCGAACCCACGAACCGCGAGATCATGACCTAAGCGAAAGTCGGACGCTTAACCGACTAAGCCACCCAGGCGCCCCTTTGCCTTTTTTTTTTTTAATGTTTTTNCAGTCAGCACAGAGCCCGACGCGGGGCCCGAACCCACGAACTGTGAGATCATGACCTAAGCGAAAGTCGGACGCTTAACCGACTAAGCCACCCAGGCGCCCCAATACTTTTCATTTTTTAATGGTTTCTTCTGCTGTGCAGAAGTTTCTTGGTTTGATATTGTACTACTTATTTTTGTTTTTCGTGTCAGATCCAGAAAATCACTGCCAAGACTGATATCAAAGAACTTTATGGAGTTTCATGGTTTCTGGCCTTACATTTAAGTCTTTCACACATCTTGAATTAATTTTTGTGAGGGGCCTAGTTTCATTCTCTTACACGTGAACATCCAATTTTCCCAGCACCATCTATTGAAGTGATGGTCTTTTCTCCATGGGGTATTCTTGGCTCCCTTGTCAAATTCTAGTTAACCACATATCATGGGTTTATTTCTAGGCTCTCAATTCTCTTCCATTGGTCTGCGTGTCTGTTTTATGCTGGCACTATACTGTTTTGGTTACTATTTTGATTACTATGGCCTTATCATACAACTTGAAATCAGGAAGTGTGGTGTTGTTTCTCTGGATTCCTTTGGCTAGTCGGGGTCTTTTGCAATTCCATATAAATTTTAGGATTTTTTTTTCCTGCGTCTGTAAAAAACACCCATTGGAATCTTGGTCGGAACTGCATTGAATCTGTAGATGGCTTTGGGTAAACAACAGACATTTTAACATTAATTCTTCCAGTGGGATAATTTTCCACTTATTTGTGCTGTCTCCAATTCCTTTCATCGATGTCTTACAATTTATCTTTCACCTCCTTGATTAAGGTTATTCCTAAGTATTTTATTGCTTTTGATGCTATTGAAAATGGGATCATTTTATTTTTTTCAGATAAATTCATTGCTAGTGTATAAAAATACTGCTGATTTTTGTATGTTTTTTTTAATTTTTTTTTTAATGTTTTATTTATTTCTAGGAGAGAGAGACAGCGTGAGCAGGGGAGGGTCAGAGAGAGAGGGAGATACAGACTCTGAAACAGGCTCCAGGCTCTGAGTTGGCAGTCAGCACAGAGCCCGACGCGGGGCTCGAACCCACGAACCGTGAGATCATGACCTAAGCGAAAGTCGGACGCTTAACCGACTAAGCCACCCAGGCGCCCCTGATTTTTGTATGTTAATTTTTCACCCTGCAACTTTACTGAATTCATTGCTCGGATCTAAAAGTTTTTGGGGGGAGTCTCTAGGATTTTCTAAGGATAAAAATCCTGTCATCTGCAAATAGATAATTTTACTTCTTTTCCAATTCTGATGGCTCTCATGTTTTAAGAATAAACATTCTTCTCAAAGTCACAACACCATGGGGCCCTGGGTGGCTCTATCAGTTAAGCAACCAACATCAGCTCAGGTCATGACCTCACAGTCTGTGGGTTCGAGCCCCGCGTCAGGCTCTGTGCTGATAGCTCAGAGCCTGGAGCCTGCTTCAGATTCTGTGTCTTTCTCTCTCTCTGCCCCTCCCCCGCTCATACTCTGTGTCTCAAAAATGAATAAATGTTAAAAAAAAAACAATGAATTTCATTATGATTCTGTACTTAGATATACCTCATACTTTCAGGCTAATTTTTCTTAAACATTTTCTTTTTTAGAATAGTCTTGTTTTCAGAGGGATTTTAGGTTCATAGAAAAATTAAGCAGAAGATATAAATTATTTTATTTTTATTTATTTATTTTAGAGAGAGAGATCATGTGTGTGCAGGTAGGGGGTGGAGGGGCAGAGGGAGAGGGAGAATATTAAGCAAGCTCCATGCTCAGCCTGGAGCCTGACTTACGGTTTGATCCCACGACGCTGGAATCATGACCTGAGCCAAATTCAAGAGTTGGACCCTCAACCAACTGAGCCACTCAGGTGCCTCGATATAATTAACTTTTAAACACTGTTATTATTAATTTGTTTAGAAATAAGAAAGAACCCAGGGAGGTGAGTGGGGGGATGGGCTACATAGGTCTTCAGGAGGGTACTGGTTATAATAAGCACTAGGTGTTTTAAGTGATGAATCACTAAATTCTACTCCTGAAACCAATATTACATACTATATGTTAACAAACTAGAATTTTAAAAAATTTGGAAAAAAAATAACAACAGACCCATTTACGGGCTCACACAAATAATATATTTTTCGTGAATAATAACTGCTTTCCAAAACAAAACCTAAAATCCCCACGATGAACACAGCACAGCGGTTTTTCGTTTTTACAACTCTTCGCTTTGTTTTTTTTTTTTTTTTTTAATAGCTGGGCTGTTAGGAGAGAGTTGGATCCTCAGATCTGGTTTCAAATTCACAGAAACAGAATGCCAGCCATAAACGTGGGCCACGAATGTAATTTAAATATTTCTAGGGGCGCCTGGCTGGCTCAGTACATAGACTAAGTGACTCTTGATCTTAGGGCTGAGAGTTTGAGCCCTGGGTGGGGTGTAGAGATTACTTTAAAATAAAATCTTCATTTCATTTTATTTTTAAAGTTTACTTATTCATTTTGACAGAGAGAGAGAGAGAGAGAGAGAGAGAGAGAGCACGCGTGAGCACAAGTCAGGGAGGGTCCGAGAGAAGGAGAGACAGACTCCACACCACCGGCACAGAGCTGCCCCATGTGGGGCTTGAACTCACAAACAGCAAGATCATAACCAGAGCCAGAGTCAGACGCTTAACTGACTGAGCCACCCAGGTGCCCCTAAAATACTTATTTTAAATAAATTAATGAATAAATGAGTGAATAAACAAATAAATATCTGTAGTAGCCACATTATAAGGGCAAAAAAGAAATAGGCAAAATTAACATTAAGATATTTAGCCCAACGGGGGTGCCTGGGTGGCTCAGGCGGTTAAGCGTCCGACTCTTGATTTCGGCTCAGGTCACGATCTCGCGGTTCGTGACTCTGAGCCCCGGCCTTGCGCTCTCTGCTGTCAGTGAGGAGCCTGCTTGGGATTCTCTCTCTCCCTCTCTCTCTGCCCCTCCCACTTGTATGTGCACTTGGCTGATCTCTCTCTCAAAATAAATGAATAAACTTAAAAAAAAAGGATATTTAGCTCAATATACTCAACATATTATCAACGTGGAATTGATACATTGAAGCATCCCTTGAATGTGCTGGAGAAGGGAGAACCTCACAGTTCCCCTGAGGGACCTCAGGAACCCCTCCAGGGTTCCTCAGCGCATACTTTGAGAACCACTGGACTCGCCTATATATGTCTGAAGCCACATGCCAGGTGTTACCATCAGGTTATCAAGGGGCTGAGTTAGGTGACTGGTGAGGATGAGGACCCTCAGTGGGGGTGGATCTCAGACTGGGGCAGAGAATGTGAACGCAGGCACAATGACCTTACTAAAACCCACACTGCCATCCAGCAAGGGTGGTAAGAAGCAGCCTGCCTCTCTGGAGGCCCTCAAAATCCCAGCTAGAACATGAGCAACTGGACATGTGCTGCCTGTGTCCGCGTCCTGGAGCTGCCACAGCAAAGTACCACAGGCCAAGCGGCTTAGACAACAGGAACACACATATTCTCACGCAGTGTGAGGTCAGGCCTCTCCCCCGCCTCTGGGGTGTGTGAGCGATGCCTGGCCTTCCTGACTCGTGGAAGCACCCCCCCCATCTCCGCCTTCACCTTCATGTGGCCTGCTCCCCGTGGTCACTGGGCCCGAGCTCCCCTCCCTGCAAGGTCACCAGTCATACTGGACAAGGGGCCCACCCCCACTCAGAGCCGGGGAAGATGGGCTCTGTGCGCAGCCAGACACAGAGGGCCCCCAGCATGAGGAATCCAGACTGAGGGGGCGCATGAGTGCGCGACGAATGACTTTTCGGAGCGGAGCCCCTTTGTAAGCCGAGGGGTGTTCGCAAGTCACTTACAGCGGGCCGGGCGCTGTTCTGATGGCTCTGCACAAATTGTCATCTGGTAGCGTTTGACACATAGCGTTTTCCACGCGGGGACTCAGGCACCCGGCGTGACTTGCTCTGCGTCCCACAGCGAGGCAGGGAGTCTGGTCTCCAGAGCCACCAGCCTCTGTGCTATCCTGACGCATCTCACCCCGCGCGTGTGTGGGAAGTGGCTTCCGAGGCTTCACAGAGAGTAGACAGCTTGATGAAGGTACGAGGCTTTAAGTCCATCCTTCCAGCTCCTTCCCAGAAGAGTGACTTCAGCCACCGGGCCTGGAGCAGGCTAAAGCCACCGTGTCCATTATGGGAGCCATCGGCCACGTGTGACCACTGAGCGCTTGAAACGTGGCAGGTCTGAACCGAGATGCGCTGCGCCAAATACAGGCTGGATTACAAAGGCATAATTCCTGGGGTGCCTGGGTGGCTCAGTGAGCTAAGCGTCCGACTTCGGCTCAGGTCATGATCTCACGGTTCGTGGGTTTGAGCCCCGCATCGGGCTCTGTGCTGACAGCTCAGAGCCTGGAGCCTGCTTCAGATTCTGTGTCTCCCTCTCTCTCTGACCCTCCCCTGCTCACGCTGCCCCTCTCTCTCTCTCAGAAATAAATAAAACATTAAAAAAAAATTTTAAAAAACAAAACAAAATGCTTAATTCCCCCCATAATGTCAAGATGCCTCACGAATAATTCCACACATTTATCACAAGTTGAGATGATAATATTTTGAATCTACTGGGTTAACTAAAATACCTTATTAAGTTAGTAAATTAGTCGTCAGTTTCTTTTTGCCTTTTTTAATGTGCCAACTAGAACATGTAACATCGTCTGGCATTCTCCTTCTACTGGACGGCTGTGGCTAAGGAGGCCCCACTTTAACCGGTACCCCGAGAAATCCTGGAGACAGAAACTAGAGGGCTGTGCTCGTGGAAAGCCTTTGCACCAGAACATCCAACGTTGGAATACTGTTTCCCGGAACGCCTTATGCGCACTTGCACTTCTCAGCAGAAGATGCAGATCCCAAAGGCCTTTGGACGCCTTGAAGTTTATGCGCCAAATACGAGGGGAAAACAGGACGTAGAAGTTCTTTCGCCTCCGGGATGTGCTGGCTGCCCTTGCCACGAACGCAAGCATGAGGGGCCTGTGCGGAGTGACTCTATTCTGACCCCGTCCCGGGCAATCGGAGGCCGTCTCCACCGCAGCTTTCCTCTCCAAGCCACATGCAACTTTCTGCAATCAGGTTTGCCTCTCCAGGGCTCGTCGTTGGTCAGGGATGGAAATACCGAGAGCTTAACAGTCAGGGCAGGAGGGGACCACAGATTCCGAGCAGGATTGCACGCAGTTGCCGTATCTGCGTTATGTGTTGGCTCAGCCCGACTCCCAGGAGGGGCCCTCGGAGGTCCCTGGAGGCTGCAGGTGGCACACGGCGTCCTCTCAAAGGGCCAGGCTGCTGCCTTGGATCCCCCGCCTGAGTGGGGAGGTGCCCTGAGTTGGCCTGAGGCCTCTTACAAGTTGAACCTGGTGACTCAAGGCTGAGGACAGGCTCCCGGTGACTGAGGGGGACCATCGCAGGCGTGAACCGGGGAACCCCACCTCCGGGGCCGGTCTCCAGTCTGTAAGGTGGGAGTGTCAAGGGCGGCTGGGGAGGTTCCAGGAGACTCTGCATGTGCTAAGGCTGCACTGCTTTCCCACAGCTGCTGTAACAAATGACCGGATGTGGGGGCCTAACGCACTGACTGGGAATGTATCGTCGGGCCAGCTGGGGGCCACAATTCCGAAATCAAGGTGTGGGCAGGGCCGTGCTCCCTGAGCGCTCAGTGGGGGTCCCTCTGCTCTTCCAGCCCCTGGGGGCTCCGGGCATCCTTGTCTCGTGGCCACGTCCCTCCAGCCTGTGCCTCCATATCCATAGGGCCATCTCCTCTCTGTCTCTGCGTCCAAACTGCCTTCCTCTTACAAGGACACCAGACATTGGATTTCGGACCCACCCTAATCCAGGATGACCCCATCTGAACTTGATCATATCTGCAAAGACTCTATTCTCAAATAAGGTCACATCCACAGGTATTGGAGGTTTTGGATACTTTGGGGGGGACGCAAGGGAACTCCCACCAGCAGTGAAGCAGTGAGGCCAAGAGTCTTCCAACTTTGGAGCCGAGATTCCAGAAGGGAGATGGGCAATAAACACACACACACACACACACACACACACACACACACACACACGCTATGGAACATTACAGCTGACAAGGGATTATGGGTGTGAGGAAAGGGTCCCTGTACACGGGATAGTCAGGATGGACTCCCTGGAGGAGGTGTCATATACCAGAGACCCAAGGATGAGAAAGATCTGAGCAGGCAAAGGGCAGCTGAGGGCAGGGAACACCTAAAGGAAACAAACGTGTGTCCAAGAACAGGATGGAGTCCAGGGGCTGGGGGGGAGGGGGGAGGTCTGATCCTTAGAGCAGACGGTCCCCGTGGGAGCCCTGTGTCGATGCCAAGAGCGACCAAAGTCACAGGGTAGTTTTAAGGTGAGTGACTTGATCTAATGCTTTTTTTTTTTTTTTTGTTCACTCTATGCGACAAAAGAAGTAATGAACATTAAAATCGCCCCTGGCCCACAGGGCCCGTGAGGGACCGCGGAGTCGGGAAGAGGGCAGGGACGGGCTGGCGCAGCAGGCCCGAGTCCGTCTCCAGGAAGAGGTGTCGGGAAGGATTAACACAGCCCTCGGCTGGCATGTGGGGACCTGGACTTCCGGAGTGTGACACGGTGAGTTGTAACACGTATACATTTGGCCTTCGTCCCCGTTCCTGGCAGAGTGCCTACAACCTTTGGGTTTTCTGTGGGACGAGAGCAAAAATGGGGTCTCGATAATTCCTAACAGGGTCCTTTCCGCCACACCCAAGGCTGTGTTGACGCGGTGACTTCTGGACAGGCCCTGAGGATGGGTGCTGGGAGCGAGGAGAAGCCACCCCAAGGAGAAGGTTGGGATTTCCATCCCATCCCCTGACCTCCAGGGACAGGCCAGCGGCTGGAGGCTGAGTCAGTCACCAATGGCCAATGACTCAATCGATCGTGCCCGTGTGATGGATCGTGCGATGGGGCCTCCACAAAAATTCGACAGGGGCTTCCCAGCTGGGGGGCTCAGGGAACGTCAAAGCTCCGTGTGCCTTCCTGCAGAACTCACCTGGCCATTGCCTCCCTCTGGCCGTTCCTGAGTTCTATCCTGCATAAGCTGCCCGGCTAGTAAGTCCGTGGTTTTCTGGGGTTCTAGGAGCCGCTCGGGCAAATTAATCAAACCCAAGGAGCAGGAACCTCCGATCAGGACAGTGGCTCGGTCAGAAGCACAGGTGGGCTTGCGGCTGATGCCTGAAGATGGAGGGGCAGCCCCGCGGGGTGAGCCCTGACCCTGAGGGCTCCCTCTGACCCCACCTCCAGGTAGACGGGCTCAGAATTCAGTTAAATTCGCAGGACGCCTGGTCAGTGTCCACGGAGACTTGAGTTATTTGCTCAGTGGGGTGGAAAAAACACACGTATCGGAGGGGCCTTCCCTCCATTCCCTGATAAGGGGGGGGCTCTCTGTGCCTGAACGATTTGCACAAACACTGTGGTTTAGGCCGCACACCTGCTTTCCCGCGGGGCGTCGGTGCCAGGCAGAAGCTGCCTGCGTGACCAGCTGCTGAGAAACACCCTGGGCGCGGAGTGTCTAACAGTCCTGGCTGGTGGACGACGACGTCACACGCGTCACCACAAATTGCTGCTGGTGGAATCAGGGCGTCCTAGGGGCTCCCACCGCCTGTGCCCTCTTGCAGAGGGTACTCTGTGTCCTTGCTCCGGAATACATCACAGCCCCGAGCGCGACAATGACGCCGAGTCCTGAGTCCCCCTAATGACTCACCGAACCAGGGGGTGGTCTTGGGGACCTCGGCACAGGCGGCTGCAGACTTCCTGGCAGAAGAGGGGGCAGCCTGGACCAGGGCCATGGTCTTGAATTCAACCGTTCCAGTGGCCAGCTCCTGATTGGGCGCGGAGCAGCGAGTCCCACGGTGGCCCCGATCAGCAGCGACCTGGGGGCCACACGCGGCTCCTCCGGCTCTGGGAGCGCGTCGAGCTCCGTATGAAACCTCTTTGTGCCTGAATAACTGTGGGAGTTTGTGATGGGCCCCGACACCCCGGAGGCCCCACGTCCGGTCTTCGCAGTTTGCCTGGGGGCCGACAAGTCAGCCCTACCCACAGGTACCTTATCTTAAGCAGCATCTGTGAATCTCGGTTTGGATCACGCATTTCTTTATGTGACTATCATAATAATAAATGTTCACTTGCAGGGCGCCTGGGGGGCTCAGTCGGTTAAGCATCCGACTCTTGATTTCAGCTCAAGTCATGTTCTCACGGTTCGTGAGTTCAAGCCCCACCTTGGGCTCTGTGCTGACAGTGCAGAGCCTGCTTGGGATTCTCTCCCTCTCTCCCTCTCTCTCTGGCCCTCCCCCGCTCACACTGTCTCTGTCTCTCTGAAAATAAATTAACAAACTTTGAAAACATTTTTTTAAATGTTCATTTGTATCCTCACTGCCCCTCCTCCAAGGGGTCCCCTGTCCGACCCCTTGTGGGTACCGTGTCCACACTTTGAGAACCACTAGAATAAAACAGCACCTCAAATGAATGCCTGCCCCCTCCCTCCGTCCCCACTGCCACGTACCGTCAAGTCCAAACACGTCCAAGAGATCCGTCCAAACTTTCCACAGCGTTTCAACGAACATGTCCACCCCCAGCACGAACCTTTCGGTCAGCCTGGTCAGGAACTGCGGAAACAAGAGACGGGTCACCACCGCCGACCGGGACAGCGCCCCCCGTCTCCTGGTCCGGCCGGGCCCGCTGCCTCACGCTGGGTGGGAAAGCAGAGCCGGCCAGTGGCGACAGACACAGCAGGGGTGGCCCAGCAGCCGGGGCGCAGCAGGAGCTCGGCAGGCCGGGGGGCTGGGGGAAATCCGGTCAAGCCTCCCCCTCCACAGGCCGAGTGGGAGACGGGAGGTGCCTGCAGAGCTGACCCGCGCCACACCATTTCTCCTAGGGCCCTCCTGCTCACGTCAAGCTCAAGGTCTCCTACTTTTCTCTGCCTGATTTCTTATTTTTATTTATTTATTTGTTTGTTTGTTTTTTAATGTTTATTTTTGAGAGAGAGAGGCAGAGGGAGTGAGAGGGAGAATGAGGGGGGAGGGGCAGAGAGAGAGGGGGACACAGAATCTGAAACAGGCTCCAGGCTCCAAGCTGTCAGCACAGAGCCCGACACGGGGCTCGAACCCACGAACCGCGAGATCATGACCTAAGCGAAAGTCGGACGCTTAACCGACTAAGCCACCCAGGCGCCCCATGGAAACAGCTGCTTGGAAGGAAGGGACACCAGCGCTCACATTGCTGAACCTCTCTGTGCCTCAGTTTTGTCAGCTGTCAAGTGGGGCAAAGACAGGATTGGACGTTGGGACTAGGAGAGGCCTCCGTGTGGGGCCGGCGCACCCGGAGCCCAGGCGGCGGGACTGCTCCTGCCACGGCGCCGACTCACTCGGGTCTCCAGGTAGGTGCTTGGGGACCAACCAGCCTTGGAACATTGTCACGCCCCAACATGACTGGTGTCACCCTGGGGAGACGACAGGCCTGTCCTGAAAACCGGGCTGGGCGGGACGGGTGGAGGGCAGAGGAGGGCCGGCCAGGCACCGGGCCAACTCGCTCCCGGCCTGGGGCCGGCGCTGTCGCTTTGGCTACTGTCTCAGCGAAGGTCACGCGGGAGCCCTGCGGGGGGTGAACCGTGTGCCCCCGAATCTCCTAGCCGAAACCCTGATCCCTAGGACCTCGGGGCGTGGCTGGGATTAACGAGGCATCTTCAGAGAGATGGGAAACGTAGGACGGGGTCACCAAGCTGAGCCCTAACCCAACGGGACCCGCGTCCTTATAAGAGGAGGCGATCGGGACGCAGACACGCACAGGCGAGGACACAGGGAGAAGACAGCTGTCTGTACACCCTGGAGAGGCGCCATGGTCTCGGTGTTCTAGTAAATTCCTACTGTTGGGGCTGCGCTGCTAGGGCAGCCCCAGCCCCTAATGGGGGGTCACAGCACAGCCTAGAGCCTGGACGGCTTCTCCCACCACTGGCGGGCGGACACACCCCCAGCCAAATGTGACCGTGGACCTGCCTCCAGTGCAACGTCCACCTTCACGGCCACCGAGGCTGCTGGGGACATAAAGGGCAGCGGGGGGGGGGGGGCGCGCCTGGGGGGCTCTGTGGGCCGATCTGACCCTTGATCACGGCTCAGGTCATGGTCTCACGGTCCAGGAGACGGAGCCCCGAGTCAGGCTCTGCGCAGACAGCACGGAGCCCGCTTGGAATTCTGTCTCCCCGTCTCTCTCTGCCCCTCCCTCCCCCTCAAAATAAATAAATGAGCTTTAAAAAGGATGGCAGGAAAGTGGTAAACGGAAGCAGTGGCGAGTGGGTCCGGGGTCCATTACAGGATTCTCCCTTTGAACCTGCTGGACGACGTTGGGGATGAAAAATTAAAACAAGGGAGATTCAGGTGAAGGAACTCGGAGGCCTCAGCTGTCACTGAGGGAGGGACAAAATGACTCAAGCCTGGATTTCATTATCCCCAGAGAGGCCGGGACGTCCATCTCCCGAGGGTGTCCTGGGTCCGTCCCAATCCTCCCGCGCCCCCCTCACCCCCTGGCTCGTGCAAACCGGCTCCAAGGAAAATCAGCGACTGCGTCCTGATGAGCGGGTCAGAGAAGGGGCGGGGTTTCCGCAGTTTGAGTTTGCCCAAGCATGCGAAGAACACGCCAAAGCCAAAGACTGCACGAACAGGGGACACGGGAACGTTCGCCCAGGTCCCCGGGGGAGGCACCTCCAGCGCGTCCCGCTGTGTCACCAGTGCGGGGACACACGACCCCTGCAGCAGAATTCTTTCCAGGTACGGACGTGCGCCCCACTCTAACTGCAAGGAAACAGGCAGAACATACACACCGCGGGACATTTCACGACATGGCTGGTCTGGGGGCGCCTGGCTGGCTTGCTCGGTGGAGTGGGGGCTCTTGATCTGGGGTTGTGAGTTTGAGTCCCATGTTGGGGGTAGAGATTAGTTAAAAATAAAATCTTTAAAACAGAAAGAAGGGAAGGAAAGGAGGGAGAGAGACAGAGACAGAGAGAGAGAGGAAGGAAGGAAGGAAGGAAGGAAGGAAGGAAAGAAGGAAGGAGGAAGGAAGGAAGGGAGAGAAGAAAGGAAGGAAGGAAGGAAGGAAGGAAGGAAGGAAGGAAGGAAGGAAGGAAGGAAGGAAGGAAGGAAGGAAGAAAACGAACTGGTGAGATACCAGTGAGATATCACAGTGGCATCAAAACCACAGTGAGATACCATTTCAGCCTCACCCCAATGGCTTTAATCAAAAAGACAATGATGGGCGCCTGCGGGAGCTCAGTGGGTTAAGCATCTGACTCCTGATTTCTGTTTAGGTCATGATCTCATGGCTCATGAGATTGAGCCCCGCATTGGGCTCTGTTCAGCACAGAGCCTGTTCGGGATTCTCTCTCTCTGCCTCCCCCCTGCTCTCTTTCTCTCTCTCTCTCAAAAATAAATAATGGGCGCCTGCGTGGCTCAGTCTGTTAAGCGTCCAACTTTGGCTCAGGTTATGATCTCCCTGTTTATGAGTTCAAGCCCGGTGTTGGGCTCTGTGCCGACAGCTGGGAGCCTGAAGCCTGCTTCGGATTCTGTCTCCCTCTCTCTGCCCTCCCTCCCTTGCTCATTCTGTCTCTCTCACTTTAAAAAATAAATACTAAAAAATAAATACTAAAATTTTTTGAATAAATAAACATTTTTTTAAAAGTCCAGAATAGGGCAAGTCTAGGGAGACAGAGCACATTAGGGGCTGTCTCCGGACAGGGACGGGGGATGAGGGCCTCAGGAGGCTCTAAAATGGGCTGTGGTAAGGGCCATGCAGCTCTCTGAATCTACTCAAAACTACTGAACTTTCAATAAAGCTGTTACCAAAACAAGAAAAACAAAGGCAATTGGTGCGCGCTATTCAAAAGCGTCAATGTCAGGAAGGCACTCCACACCCACACCCAAAAAGTGAGGGGACTTCGATAGACTAGAGGACACTAAAGAGACATCAAAACCAAATACAGTGAGCCATGTCCAATAAAGTGTTAGATTTTTTTTTAAAGCTATAAAGGCAACATGAATATAGACTGTACACGACAGCTTTTACCGTACTGAATGTAATCTGGTGTGGGGGGTACTGTGGTTCTGTAGGAGAAAGTATCGTGATGTTTGCAACTTAGTTTTTTTTATGTTTATTTATTTATTTTGAGAGAGAAGGCCTGCCCATTCGAGCAGGGGAGGGGCAGAGAGAGGCTCTGACCTGGGGCTCAATCTCACAAACCACAAACCGTGAGATCATCAAGAGCCGGAATCAAGAGCCGGATGTTTAACTGACTGAGCCCCCCCGGGCACCCCTGCGACTTACTTTCAAATGGCTCTGTGAAAAGACCAGTGTGTCTGTGTGTCTGCGCGTGTGTGCGTGGTGTGTATAAAGAAAAAGAGAGAAACCGATTTGGGGAAAATGTGGGTTCAGTGGGGGGTTTCTAGCTGTTCCTCGTTCTGGTCTTTTAACTGTTCTGTACTCCCAAAATTTTCATAATAAAAACAGGAAACATTTGGATCGTGGTGGTGTTTTCACAGGTGTGTATACACGCATCGAAATTTGTCAACTTGTACATTTTTGGACATTTTTATCCCACTGTAAGTACACGCTGTCTATTGAGGTGTGACATGAGTCACACCTCCCTAAAGCCACTAGGACGGGCTGGGAATAAAAGGCTGGAAAGTGTCAGAGTTATTTTGCTCAAAAAACTTGCTGGCAAACAGCGAAAAATGCCAGAGTCTCAGAAAATCAAAAACAAAAGACCAAGAGCTCAATAGACGGGCGCCTGAGTGGCTCCGTCAGTTAAGCGTCCGACTTTGGCTCAAGTCATGATCTCACGGTTCGTGGGTTCGAACCCTGCACGGGCTCTGTGCTGACAGCTCAGAGCCTGGAGCCTGCTTCAGATTCTGTGTCTCCCTCTGACCCTCCCCTGCTCTCTCTCTCTCAGAAATAAATAAAACATTTTAAAAAAAGAAAAAGAAAGAAAAACAGAAAACCCACGAAGGGGCAGGATGTGTACGGATGCTCAGAATACCCGCCTATTCTAGGAAGGAAAATGGGAGATGGGGTCAGAGGTGGCAAGCAGATTTACTTATTTTTTTTTTCTTTTGAACTATTTGAAATGGCGTTGCACGTAACTACGGCCTTATTAAAAAAACAAAACAAAACATTAAGCTTCTTAAAAAAACAACTAAGAAACAAAGGAGTAATAAAAACGGCAGCTCTCGGGGCGCCTGGGTGGCTTAGTCGGTTAAGCGTCCAACTTTCACTTAGGTCATGATCTCGCGGTTCGTGGGTTCGGGCCCCGCGTCGGGCTCTGTGCTGACTGCCAGCTCGGAGCCTGGAGCCTGTTTCAGAGTCTGTGTCTCCCTCTCTCTCTGACCCTCCCCTGCTCACGCTGTCTCTCTCTCTCTCCTAGAAATAAATAAAAATATTAAAAAAAAAAAAAAAAAAAAAAACGGCAGTTCTCAGCTTAGCATCCAGACGTTCTCACTACGTGGGCCCAGCTGTAGCTGTTCCCTGTGCTCCCCTAGATCCACACCCCAGTGCAGCCACCTGTGACCCCGACCCCAACTTTGCCTCAGCCCTTCCCTTCCCTGCCAACCCATCTTCCCAGACCCAACTCACACCCCTTCCTCCACCCCCCTGCCCAATGCCTCCAGGCAGGGCACCAGATCCCTTTCTCCCGGCTCTCCACGGGCCTTTCTGGCATCACCATTGATGATGCGGTTTTGTTAAAACCTAGGTCCTGCGTGACAGAGCTATCTCCATCTCCCTCTGTCCCTTGTTCACTCTGCTACAGCCCTACTACGAACTGTCTCTGACCCTCACATGCCAAACCTGTTTCTACCACAGGGCCTTTGCGCACGCTGCTCCCATTGCCTGGGATGCTCTGTCCCTCCAGCTCCCTCTCTTTCAGCTCACTTCCTTGGCCACTCTATTCCAGATCATTTCCAATGCTGCGGAGGTTACAAGTGTGGGCACTCGCAGTCCCCTCCCGCTGATTCGTGGAACCGGGGGCAAGAGATTCAACCTTTCCATCGCCTTACTTTCCTCATCCGTAAAACAGGGCTGAGAACAGAGCCTCTCTCTTAGAACAGCTAAGACACACTATCATTCTGACTTATCTATGGCCTGTCCCATGAAAGGTCCTTGAGAGAGGATGCTTTGTCTGGCTTTGTCACATAGCAGGCGCGTAAGAAATTTTTGAAAATTGTTGGGGCGCCTGGGTGGCTCAGACGGTTAAGCGTCAGACTTTGGCTCAGGTCATGATCTCACGGTTTGTGGGTTCGAGCCCCATGTCAGGCTCTGTGCTGACAGCCATTTCAGAGCCTGGAGCTGCTTCAGATTCTGTATCTCCCTCTCTCTCTGACCCTCCCCTGCTCACCCTGTCTCTCTCTCTCTCTCTCAGAAATAAATAAAACATTAAAGAAAAAAATTTTTGAAAATCGTTGTAAAATACACATAGCATAAAATTAACCTGTTGAACCATCTTAAAGTGTACGATTCACTGGCACATGGTACTTTCACCTGCTGTGCAACGTCACCTCTACCTAATTCCAGAACATTTTCTGCCCTGAAAAGAAAGAAACTCCTGATCAATGAAACAGTCTCTCTCCATCCGCACCCCCTCCCCCCCTTAGCAACCACGCATCTACTTTCAGTCTCTATGGATTTGCTTGTTCTGGACCATTTCATACAAATACACTCATATAACAGGTGGCCTTTTGTGTCTGGCTTCTTTTATCTGTTTTCAAGTTTTCTCCGTGTATAATCTCTCAGTGTGTCCTTCCTTTTCATGGCTAGATAATATTCCATGCGTGGACAGGCCCCAGTTTCTTCATTCACCAGTGGACAGACATTTGGGTTGTTTCCACCCTTTGGCTAACGTGAAAATCACTCCTGTGAACATTCACGTACAAGCCACTTAATCATTTTTAATTGAATGAATGAGTTTATCACGCTCCTACCAGACAAATCCTTTTCTTCCAGAAATACCTTCTACCACGTACTAAACACTTAATCACGACCTGGTATCATACAACCTAATCGCATTCGGCCCTCCGATGTCTCCTCTGGAGCGGAGATCGGGGGAGAGGTCAAGTCAACTGGCCCAGGATCCAAAGCTAGTAACTCCAATCCATGTGTGTTGGACAGCAATGCCCAGACCCCAACCCAGAACACCGCGGGTTTACTTTAGCCAAGGCCTAGCGTAGACTATGGGGTGTTTCTGTAAACACCCTCAAACCTCACAAGCCCCCAAGCCAGTCTGGCAGCATAGATTGGGGGGGGGGCCAGGAAGAGTCACGAGGCAGAAAGACCCCGAAACCACTCTGCCCGGGGTTTCATTCCCGGCTCTGCCAACTCAGTTTGACTTAGAGCCACTCGCGTCACCCCTCTGTGCCTCAGTTTCCCTATCTGTAAAATGAAAACACCCACAGTACCCACTCATAGGGTTTTTCTGAGACTTAATTGAGTGACTCTATCTATGAAAGCACGTAGCACATTATAAGCAAGTAACAAATGTGTATTGGCTCTATGGAAGGCACAAACCTCGGTCACACCAGAAAAGAGCTGTGATCTCGATCCAAGAATAGCAATCTGATTTGGGTTTTAATGTCTTGTTTTGTTTTGTCTTGTTTTTTCCCTTCCATCGCAAGCACCAGAAAACTTTTTTTTTCTTTTTTTTTTTTAACCCTTAAAGTCCTTCCAGCAGCACTAAACCAGTGGATTTGTGCCTCCGCCGAAACATAACTGAACAAAAGGATGTAGTTGATACAGATTCAGTCAGCACTCTGGGCCAGGAAAGCACCATAATTACAGGAAGCATTCATCATTACCACCTCATAATGCAGAGGATATATTATTATTATCCCATTTTAAAGGATAAAGAAACTGAGGCTCAAAGAAATGAAGCCACATGTGGTGCAGAGCCAACCCGCTCCTGACGTGGTAGAGCCAGAACTTGAGGTCCCGAACCCCAGGGCCAGCCTGGAGCAAAGAAATTAACAGGAGGAGGAGCAGGGGCTGTGCTCAGGGAACCACGTTATCACATCCAACTGTCTCTCACTCGCTTCCCCTTTCTCGCCGGGTGAAGCCTGTGCCACCGGCTCCAGGGGGCAGAGCAGGGTGCGGCCCCGGTTCCCGCCTTCCTTCTGAGGGCTCAACACACAGGCGCCTGCGGGCTTATACTAAAGGCTCCAAAGTGAAAAAGGCTCCAAGCCAAGGGGCGGCACCCAGTAGGTGCTCAGGAGGGCTGCTGGGCCAAAGCAACAGAGACTGAGTTACTCCCCTTCTTTTCATCTAAAGTTAAAAAAAGAAAAAGAAAAAAAATCTCTTCGCGGTGGAAGGAGGAGGCCTAGGGTGCTCAGGGGAAGTGGGTCGGTGCGAGGCTAGCAGGAAGGCGGGGGGGGGGGGGCTGGGGAGAGGGCAGGGGCCCCCCTCCCCCCGGGCGGCCGGCGCGGCGCCTGGCTCATAGTAGGTGCTCATTCAAACGCGCTGAATGAATGAATGAGAGGCGCGGCCGGCGTCCGCCCAGCCCAGGGGCCGCCCGGGCCGCGCCGCGCCGGCGGGCAAGGTCCAAGGAGAAATGCGGCGCCGAGCGGAGGGCGCCCGAGGCCCCGCGCGCCGCCACCGGCCGCCGGCCCCGACCCCGGCCGCGCGTGGGGGGCCGCAGGCCGCGGAGGCCCCGGGTCGCAGGCCGGCCGCCCCCCTCCCCGCCGCCCGGCGGCCCCGGAGGCCGCGCCCGGCCCAGGCCGGCGCCGGGGGCCAGGTGCGCGGCCCGGGCAAGGTGACCGCAGGCCGGGGCCCGGCGCCCACCTTCTGCGCGGCGCGCACGTTGTCCTCGCCGAACAGGCTGCTGACGCTCTGCGAGAAGGTGTGGACCGTGCGGCGGTAGCTGTTCTTCTCGGGGCCGCCGCGGCCCCGCGCCCCCTGCGCGCCCGGGGCCAGGAGGCCGAGCAGCAGCAGCAGCAGCGGCAGCAGCAGGGGCCCGGCCCGGGCCCTGGGCCCGCCCGAGGCGCGCGCGCCCATGCTGGGGACGGCGGGGTGCGGGGGGCGACGCGGGGCCGAGGGCCGCTCCGGGGACGCCGCGCCTCCGGCGGGGACCGCGCTCCGTCCGCCGCCGCCGCCGCCGCCGCTGTCGCAGCGCCACCCGCCCCGCCCCGCGCGCAAGGCCCCGCCCACGCCTCGCCCCGCCCCCGGCCGCGGGGGGCCGGCACGCGACCCCGCCCCCGGCCGCGGGGGGCCCGCCAACGACCCTGCCCGCGACCCCGCGAGCGGCCGCCGCGGCCTGCAGGCGCCTCGCCTCCCCGCCCCCACTGAGCTGGAGGTGGCTGAAGGCGGGGGTGGAGGCGGTTGACCTTTGAAAAAAACGGTAATTGTTATTTTTAACTTTTCTGTAAAAAGGAGGCTGTGCTGGTAAAACTTGCGATGGCCTCAGCCAGGATGATGACTGCCATTGATTGGAAAACCAGACACATGCATGTCCCTGAGTGTACACTGATCCCCAGTCCGTGGCCACCGTTGGCGCCGGCGAGGGCACCGGCTCACCCAGCCGTTCATTCGTCCTGAAATTCTGAATTAAAGGGAGAGCGTCGGGCATTCCTCCTGCCCTTCCTGACCAACCGTATTTCAGCATCACAAAGCAGGGGAGGAGGGAAAGGTCTCTGAAGAGAAGTCCAGCTGGTAAATGAGGAGGGAGTGAAAGAGTCATTTTTGCACCCCTCAGTGAAATGATGGATCCAAGCCATGGCCATCAGGGGACTGAAACCGAGAGGTGAACTTGAAAATGGAGGGGCCACGTCGTCCTGACCTGGTCGCATCAAACCCTAGAAGCAGGAAGTAGGTCCCTGCCCTACCTGGGTTGGATTCTCACCAAAACACGTTGAATCTAACCGATCTGGTCTCTACAGCTAACCAGCAATTTACAGGAAGTGTGGGGCACGGAGGAGAAAATGAGAAGAAGCGGAGGCCATCGGTCAAATCCAGAATGTGGAGCATTCTACAGGGCAAACGACGCAGCTTCCTCAATAAAATGGTATACGATGTGACGGAGGATTTTTTATTTTAAAACACCCATAAGCCATAATAACCAAATGCAGTACAAGGGCCTAAAGCAAATGGTTTCCAACCATTTTTTTGAGATAACCAGGAAAACAAAACCTTTGCCAATCGAGTGAAACATTGTGTTCTATTTTTGAACTTACACTTCTTTGGATTCTTGGTGAAGCTTTCATGTATTTAGTGGCCATATATTTTAAGTTCTTATTTTTTAAGAAAACTTTTACTGAAATAGAGCATACACACAGAAAAATACCCATATCATAAGGTGCTTCTTTATGAGTTTAAACAACACATGGGGCTCCTGGGTGGCTCAGTCAGCTAAGTGTCTGACTTCAGCTCAGGTCATGGTCTGACTTCAGCTCAGGTCATGATCTCACAGTTCGGAGGCTAGAGCCCCACGTCGGGGTCTGTGCTGACAGCCAGCTCAGAGCCTGGAGGCTGTCTTTGGATTCTGTATCTCCCTTTCTCTCTGACCCTCCCCTGTTCACGCTGTCTCTGTCTTTCTCTCAAAAATAAATAAAACATTTTAAAATGTTAAAAAAAACAACACATGAGGTAACCGGTACCCACATGGAGAAATGGAACATCACCAGCTTCCTGGGGGAACTCACTATTTTCCCTCCAGAATTTAGGGACTTAATTTTGCCTGTTTTTGAACTTTATGTATATGGGATCACACAGTATGCTCTTTTATAATTGGTCTTCCAACCTATTTATGAGAGTCACGTTGTATACATGTCTTGTGGGTTTTTTTTTTTCCAGTTTATTTTGAGAGAGGGGGAGAGAGAGAGGCAGACAGAAGAGAGACAAAATCCCAAGGAGGCTCTGCACTGTCAGCACGGAGCTAGATGCGGGGCTCAAACCCACAAACCCCAAGACCATGACTTGGGCTGAAGTCAAGAGTCAGATGCTTAACAGACTGAGCCACCCAGGCTCCCCTATGTCTTTTTCTTCTTGTTTTATACAACATTATATTTTTCTGGAGATAATACTTCGGTATATAAAGAAACTATAAGAGAAGTTACTATTACATACTTAATTTTAACACGGACACATCTTACTTAAACATATTTAAAGGAAAAAATGCAGATCACTTTCATTGTAAGCAATAAAACCCATGAAGCTAGAGGTTTTATATGCTAATTATTCTCTCTCCTCTCCGCAATGCAATATATAATGTTATCAAGTTCATACATACACCAAATCCTCTCATGTACCACCTGTGTGTCTGTAGGGATGTATTTGCTTTTGAATTTGGGGGGAAGGAGGAAGCTTATACAATCATGCTCTTCATTTATTCATTCATTGATTATTACATTCAGGAACTACTTATTGCTTACCTACTCTGCAGCCAGATCTTGTTCTAGGTTCCTTTCTAAAATTCTAAAGTAAGGGGTTCCTGGGTGGCTCAGTCCGCTAAGCCCACGACTCTCAATCCCTGTTGAGATTCAGTTCCTGAATTTGGACTCACAGTTGGTGAGTTTGGCCCTCGCTGGACTCTGCACTGACAGCGTGGAGCCTGCTTAGGATTTTCTCTCTCTACCTCTCTCTCTACCCCTCTCTTGTTCGAGCATACACTCTGTCTCAAATAAACATTAAACACAATTCTAAAATAAGTCCTAATGCCTTCACCTGTTTTTCGTAATGTTATTTAAATGTCTGTCCTTAATGCATTCATGCTTTTAACACAAAAAATGCACTGTTCTACACGCAAAATAATCACAGGATTCAGAAAATACATTCTTTCCCAGTGCGCTACACACAATGATATGGTAATGAGAGTTTAAAGACGCCTAAGAGATGTTTTCTTCTTTTAGTTCTTCTGTCCCTATAATGGAAATATTTCGTCCCTTTTTACTACATAATTTAATTATGTTTCTTACAGGAATAACAGAAACTGCAAAGAGCAAAAAAAAGAAGTAGTTTGCGATGGGGGCAGGTTATATTTGAAAAGGTGACAACACAGTCCTACTCCCAAGTAGCCAAGTTAGTATTAGCAGATAATCCAGATTTAGAGACTCAGCCTACACCTCTTGCGAACAGGCCCAAGTTTAAATTCATGCCTCCCAGGTGACCTCAGGCCTGTTCCCGCCTCTAACTTGGCCCCGCCCAGCCGATCAGCAGCCCCGCCCCTAGCTCCGCCCCCAGACCGCTGTGGTTTTCAGCTCTCGCGAGAGTGCAGCCCGGAAGTCTCGCGGCCTGAACCTGGGGCCCGGGAACACACGTGGGGTGGGCTTTGGGGTGCGCCTCTCCCGCGGCCGCCAGGTGTAACCCTTGCAGGACCCCGCGCCATGGGGAAACTGCGCCGGCGCTACAACGTCAAGGGGCGCCAGCAGGCGACCCCCGGCCCCTCGAAGGGCCCCCCGGAGCCGCCCCGCGTCGTGCTGGAACTAGAGGGTAAGGCGGGGGGCTGGGTTTCGGGGAGGGGCCGAAGGGCTCCGCGACTCTGGGGCGGTGGGAACCGGGAGGAACCTCCTCTCAGATGATCCAGAGAAGGCGAGACAGTGACAGTTTGGGTTTAACGGAGAATTTGGGACCGTCCCGGGCTTTCTCCCCGACGGAGCCTGGCCCTGGTTTGTTACTTTTTAAAGTTTTCTTTACGTAAGTAACCCCTGCACCCGACGGTGGACTCGAACTCAGGACCCTAAGATCAGGAGTCAGGTGCTCTTCCCACTGAGCCGACCAGGCGTCCCCAGCCCTATTTTAGAGACGTGGGGAACGTGGGCCAGAAAATAAGGTAATTCCGTCCATTCCTACGGTTGTTTTATAATCTTGCTAGCGACCCCCGAATGTGTATGTTTAGCCAAGACCTGTCTGCCCAGCTGGGCTGCTTGACGTTTCTGCTTAGATTCATTGTTAGTAGGAACTGCCAGGACTTTAGGAGACATAACGGGAAGAGATTTAAAAAAAAAAAAAAAAGAGTCTGCCCTGCTGAGCTTAGATGCTTGTGGGAGTTGACAGCCCAAGGCAGACAGGTAACTATGCAGGATGTTGTGTGGGTATAAATACTAAGGAGATAAAGCAGAGTAGGTGTTTGGGTGGGTTGCAGTGTCCTGGGGGAGGGGGGGCAGGGAAGCCCTCATGGAGAAAGCGTGGAGCCAAGGCCTGAAGGCAGCTAGAATGGCTGGGTGGGGGTGAAAGAAGAAAGAAGAAGAAAGAAATCCTAAGATCATGTAGGATCCCGCGGGGGGCTGTGTTGAGGACTGGCCAGGGCAGGGTTTAGGGCACCAGGGGACGTTGGCTTATGCTGGAACAGCATCGCTGTGGGTGCGGCATAGAGAAGCACCATGGTTACGTGGAACCAGGGTGATTGGTTAGGAGCCTGTTAGTTCGATGATCTGGTGGTGTTCAGGCTACAGTTTGAAGGTGGAGCTCGCAGGAGTTGCTGGCCCAGTGTGCACAAGAACAGTGACGTTGAATGACTCTCAGGCGCCGGGCCCAGCGGGTGGAGAAGGCAGGGGTGGGCAGCTTGGGAGACCAAGAGCCAGCCTTGGGATATGAGTAGTCTGGGGTCCTGTTCGGTACCCGAGCGGCCAGCTGCTTGAGAGAAGCCAGTCCCGGTGGAGGCGGCAATCCGGAGTCATCTATGGGTAGATGGTATTTGTTCACTTAAAGGCCAGACTGGGTTAGCTCGCTGAGGGAGTGGGTCCTGCCCGGGAGGAGAAGGCGATGGGGAGGAGGGCTCTGGAGAGCTTGGTTGTGGGTGCCCAGCAGGAGGACTGCCATCCGCGTCAGATGTTGCCGTGGGGTCAGCGAGGGAGAGAGGGACCGCTGGATGTCACCAGAGGGGCTGTCCTTGACCTGGCTGGGGCCATCTGTGCGGGAGGGGTGAGATGGAGGGACTGCTTCCTTTCAGAGGTGTCTTGCCGGCTCCTAAAAGGGGTGGGACTCACCCAGCTGCGTGCACGTGCTCCCTGAGGTCCAGGCCAAGTTAAACATCAGGAAACAGTGGGCCTTGACTCTGGAGATGGACGGAGGGACAAGGGCTTCTGGAAAAGCCTGCGTCCCTCGACCCGCTGGCTGGCCTTCTGTTCTACGCTCTCGCTGGGCCAGAAAGGCAGCGAGGGGACCAGAGAGAACGTCGGAGTGGCAATCTGGAGCCTGAATTCCCTCCTCAGAAGGTGCACGGATAGGCTGGGGACTGACCAAATTGCCTAACATCTCCGTGCCTCAGTTTTCTCTTCTGTAAAATGGATCTGGGAGGAACAGCCATCCTACTCCCCACCAGAGTTTTGGAGGAGGTGATTGGAGCGGGGATGGGGGGCCTGAGTCTCTTGGATCCAAAGATTGGGGAAGGTTCTTTCTCCTCTCAGGACTCCTCCAATCATCCCCACCTTCCTGAGGGGCCGAGGAGACTTATAAAAACATACATCACATCGCCTTCTTCAAAGAGCCTTCCCCGATCAGTGACCCAACATCACCACTCCCGGATTTTTGTTTTTATCATATTCCCTATTTTTTTTCCCTATGGCACCGTGGTTCTCAAAGTTTTGGACCGAGGACGCTTTTACATTCTGAAAAATTGAGGGTCCCAAAGTACTTTTGTTGGTGTGGCTTGTATCTGTCAAAACCAAGACATTTAGAAAGCAGGATGCACGAACTCACACTTCCAGCTGTCAGAGCAAGTACACGTCCTATGATTTGGAGCCTCTGGAAAATGCTGGCTGTACACTCTTTTCTTCTTTTTTTCTTGCTTTTAATTCTGTGTCATGTGAGAATTGCAGAATGGATCGCTTGCATTGCTTAAAATTGTCTCATTCTCTTCTGTGTTTTGTGACACAAAGGAAGATGGACAGAGCCAGAGGAAGGCCCCCCCATAGAACGCTGGAGAGGGGGCCACAGCAGGTTGAGTGGAAAGAGTAATGCGGCAGCCGAATTTGGGTCTAGATTGTATACTTTTAGACTGTGACATTGAAGAATAGGTGTGGTACATGGGGCGCCTGGGTGGCTCAATCGGTTAAGCATCCGACTTTGGTTCACGTCATGATCTCATGGCTCATGGGTTCGAGCCCCACGTCGGGCTCTGTGCTGACAGCTCAGAGCCTGGAGCTGCTTCAGATTCTGTCTCTCTCTCTCTCTCTGCCCTCCCCCACTCGTGTTCTGCCTCTCTCTCAAAAATAAATAAGCATTAAAAAAAAACTCATAAAAATAGATAGGGTACAAACTCAGTACTTAGTTGCCTGCACATCTGAGAAGGACGCTGTACCAACGCTGTGAAAGTAATTTTGTCCTCACAGGCCTGCGGAAAGCAGGCCACATCCTGAGGGGGTACCCGCCCTCCTAGCACCCCTCTCCCTCCCCTCCCACGAGGCTGGAGGTGCGCTGGCCCTCACAGCGGGTGCTGGGTACACCGGCTGAGTGAACGGTGACGGGCCTGCACCCCCATTCCTGTGGAGTCGCTCAGGGGGTCACACGGGGTACGGGGCGCCCATGAGAGGCGACACGGACCCCCCGCCCCAGAGCCAGTGGCACTGAGGTTGAATGCTGAGCACCGCAGGTCCCTGGGCCGGGGCTCAGATATGTGTGTCTCTTCAGATCAGGGCACGCTGAAAGGAGTTGATGCAAGCAATGCGCTCGTTTTGCCGGGAAAGAAGAAAAAGAAGCCCAAAGCCCCTCCCCTGGCGAAGAAGGAGAAGAAGCCCCTGACCAAGAAAGAACGGAAAATGCTGCAGAAAATCTTAGATCAGAAGGAGAAGAAGAGCCAGGTACGCCCATTGTGTCAGGGTCTGTGCCCGGCTCCCCCTGCTGTGGATGGGTGGGGTCTGTGTCCCCCAACTGGATCTCTCCAGCAGGACTGTCAGGTAGAACTTTCTGGAATGAGGGGCATGATGTGTGTGCACACAGTCCCACACGGTAGTCACTGGGCCTGTGTGGCTACCGAGGTTGAGGAACTGAATTTTTTATGTGAGATAATATTAATTTAAATTCAGTGGCCTCCCATGGCTGGCAGCTGCCTTGACTGACACCCTCCAGACCCTCCAGGAGCCGCCCTGGGATAGACTGACGGGCCCGGGTTGCTCGAGGTCACGAGCTTGTTAACGGGGGAACCAGTCGGTCAGCGCACTCATCTTTTCTTATTTGTCCTACTCAATCATTTTATGTTATTTGTTTTTTAACTTTATTCTGGAGAATGTCAACTTTCTTTTTTATGTTTATTTTTGAGAGATACAGACAAGCGCAAGCAGAGGAGGGGCAGAGAGAGAGGGAGACACAGAATCCGAAGCAGGTTCCAGGCTCCGAGCTGTCAGCAAAGGGCCCGACACGGGGCTCGAACTCACGAACCGTGAGATCATTACCTGAGCTGAAGTCAGACGCTCAACTGACTGAGCCACCCAGGCGCCCCATACATATTTTTAATTTATGTACTTATTTTGAGAGAGAGAGAGAGACAGAGCATGAGTTGGGGAGGGGCAGAGAGAGGGGGGAGAGAGAATTCCAAGTAGGCTCCACGCTGCCAGCACAGAGCCAGATGTGGGGGTCGAACCCACAGACCTGAGATCATGACCTGAGTCGAAATTAAGAGTCAAGGGGGGCCTGGGTGGCTTAGTCGGTTAAGCGTCCGACTTTCGCTTAGGTCATGATCTCGCGGTTCGTGGGTTCGAGCCCCGCATCGGGCTCTGTGCTGACTGCCAGCTCAGAGCCTGGAGCCTATTTCAGAGTCTGTAAATCCCTCTATCTCTGACCCTCCCCTGCTCACGCTGTCTCTCTCTCTCTCTCTCTCCCCTAGAAATAAATAAAACATTTAAAAAATATATTAAAAAAAAAAAGAAATCAAGAGTCAGACCCTAACCAAGTGAGCCACCCAGGCGCCCCTCCCTTCGTACTTTTTTATGGAGCAAATTGCCTCACGGGAAATTCAAACACCTGCAGAAGCGGAGAACCTAGTGTGATGGACTCGTGTGTCCTTGTCACCAGTGCCGCCTGGTGGCCACTCTGCCCGCTCCCGGCTCAAGGCCTGGGAAGCGTACGTCTGCATTAGCACCCGGGGCTGCTGGAACACAGGGCCGCAGACTGGACGGCTTACAGCCACGGGGATGTATTCCGTTGCGGTTCTGGAAGCCTGGAGTCTGAGACTGCGGTGTCGGCAGGGCCGTGCTCCCTGCCGAGGCTCCAGGGGAGGACCCCCAGTTTCGGGTGGTCCCCGGCGTTCCTGGCCCCTGTCTTCGCACGGCCGTCCTCTGTGTGTGTCTTGTAAGGACACTTGTCCCGGGATTTGGGACCCGGCTGGATCATCCAGTGTCTCATCCCGAGATCTTTAACTTAATTACATCTGTAGAGACCCTGTTTCCAAATAAGAGCGCATGCGGGGATGTGGGTATATCCTTTGGGGGGGTCCGCCGTTCAAGCCCCTACGTATAACGTTTTATCCATAAATGGTTCAACGGTATCTAAAATAATGGCTGTTTAAAATAACCACAAGACCCTTAGTTATAGCACAGCCAAAGTTTTTAAAAATATCAAATACCCAGCAAATGGTCAAATTCCAGTTGCTTTATAAATGCTCCCCTCCCCCACCTCTTCCCCCCTCCCCTTGTCATTGATTTGTGGAAGGAAATCAGGTAGCTTCCCACAGTGTGTTTTATAAACCATCTCTGCGGTAAAGTTAAGTGCACCCCTCTGCCCTCCGAATGTCCTGGAAATGGTGTTTGGATCTGAGGCAGGGATTCTCAGCGGGGACGGTTTGGCCCCCAGGGGACATCTGGCCACATGTGGAAGCACAGCGGGGGGCAGGGGGGGGTCTGAGGTACCCCTACGTGGCCCACGGCTCACACAGCAACCAGACGCTCTCGGGCTCAGTGATGCCCACAGTGCAGAACCTGAGAAACCCTAATCTGAAGATTTCCTGGGATTCACATTTGACTCTGCATCAGGGTCACTGCACAGGGGCCCCAGCTCACAGCCCTGACACTCAGCCCCGGAGCCCTCGCTGCGGGATGACTCTGTCCCCTGAGTGGGTCCTTTTAAAATCCTGGGCACCGTTTGTTTCTCACTGTTCTGTACGTGGTTTTTCCCTTTGTTGATTGCAAAATGCATAGAGGGAAGCACATGTAAGACACATATACAAAATTTCAGGAATTAAAAACTCAACGGAAAGAGGCCAACCGTCCCTGCCCCCATACGCTGCTTCCTTGAAGGCGGCTCGGGGACCACTTGCCCTGGTCACACAAGAGCCTCCCACCCCTGTGACACAGCTGGGGAGCCCTGCCTGTACACGTGCACCTTCCTTTATTTAGTCGGTCTCCCGCGGACGGGCATCTGGAAGGTGCAGAATTGCTTGTGACACACAGCAATGCGGAGGGAGCCTTGTTCCTCCAGCGCCAGACTGTCTGGGGGTAGAGAGCCGCCCGGCTCACGTTAGTGCACGACCGCCATCTGTGATGTGGGTCTAATTGGACCTTTGGTTTAAAAAGCTTTGGTGTTAGCGAGGCCAAAACCTGATGGCAGGGTCTCCCTTCCTTTTTTATAAGTTTATTTTTGAGAGAGCGAGGAAGCAGGGGAGGGGCAGAGAAAGAAGGGGAGAGAGAATCCCAAGCAGGCTTCATGCCGTCAGCAGAGCCCCATGTGGGGCTCAAACTCACAAACTGCAAGATCCTGACCTGAGCCAAAATCAAAGGTTGGACGCTTCACCGACTGAGGCCCCCCAGACGTCTGACCCTCTCCTCTCCTTCCCCAGCGAGCGGAGATGCTGCAGAAACTGAGCGAAGTCCAGGTTTCAGAAGCCGAGCTGAGACTCCTGTACACCACGTCCAAGCTGGGCACCGGGGACCGCATGTACCGCGCCAGAGAGTGAGCCGCGTGCCCCTCCTGCCAGGTCCTGGGGGCGGGCCCCCGGGTGACTGAGCCTTCCGGGTCGAGCGTCAGGGAGAGGACATTTGCTGTGGCCGTCATGCCTACACGCCTCCGCCGCCACGGGGCCCTGCCTGCCCGCCTCTCCGGCGGTGGCGCGGATGGTTAGGCCAGACGTTGCCTTCAGCTGGTGGGGGTTCTGTTCGGCTTATTAGCAAGTTTGGTCTGGTTTGTATGGCGTGGAGAAGGCACTCGGGGTTATTGCCGCTGTGTCCTGTGTCCCAGCGGCCGGTGTGCCCCATGTCCCCGTGGCCACATGAAATCCCACAAGCCGGGAGCCCCGAAACAAGGGAGGTGCATCCTTTCGTGGTTCTGAGCGCAGGAGCGTGGCCTGCAGGGTGTCTGTAGACTTGGTCCCTCCTGGAAGCTGGAGAGGCTGCCCTTGTCTTTCCCCCAGCTTTCGGGTGGTTGCCAGCCATCCTGGGGGTTCCTTCCTTGTAGATGCGATGCCGCGTCCGCCGTCCTGTCTCCCCGCATGTCTGTGTCTCCGTGTCTTACGTGGCCTCCCTCTGCGTCTGTGTCTTTTCTTACGAGGACACCAGGCATTGGATTTGGGACCCACCCTGATCCACGATGCTCTCATTTGACCTGAATTACATTTGCAAAGACCCTGTTTCCAAAAAGGCCACACTCTGAGCCTCTGAGGTGAATCCTAGGGAGACACCGTTCCACCCAGTGCCACCAACGTTCACAAATTAGACTGTGGGGGGCGGGGGGCACCTGGGTGGGCGGCTCAGTGGGTTGAGCGTCTGACTCGTGATTTTGGCTCAGGTTGTGCGTCGAGGGCTTTGGGATTGAGCCCCGCATCTGGCTCGCCCTGAGCAGGGAGCCTGCTGAAGCTTCTCCCTCTCTCTCGGCCCCTCCTCCTCCCTCTTTCTCTCTCTCAAAACTAAACACTAAAAAAGAAAGGAAAGAGAAAGAATTCGATTTCACGTTAAAATCCGGGTTCCCACCTGGCCTTGAGCCGCACGGAGGGCATGCTCACAGGACAGCCCACCCTTAGCGGGAGCCCATGCGCCCTTCTCACCGTGCGCAGCCGTCTCTCTGTCGGCCTGCTCCCTGTAGGCACTGAGCGTTTGTGGCTGCTCTGAGTGCAGGCCGTGTCCCAGGCTCTCCCCTAGGCCTTGGGGGTAGAGGGGGCACAGAAGTAAAATAATAGGTAAGCTCCCTGAAGAAGCCTGCATCCTAATCCTGAGGAGAGGGGCAGTAATCACATGAGTATGTATCCTGCACTAAGCAGAACATGATGCAGGGAAGGAGGGTAGAGGGAGACGGGAGAGTCTCCCTGACGGGTGACATTTGAGTGAAGTGAGGGAGAGCTTCTGCACAGGGAGCCGGCACAGCAAGTGCAAGGGCCCTGAGGTGGGAAAGGGGGGTGTCCTTTGAATCCTGGCTTCTGAGGGGTATACGGCAACACGGAGCTGCCCCAGGTTGACTGGCCCCTCCTCGGGCCTTCCTGCCTGACTTCTGGTCGTCCCCGCAGGAGGCCTGACAAGATCGAAGCCCAGGGGCAGAGGATCAGCAGCCTCAGCGGGGCCGGCCGGAAGCGCTCCCACGAGGAGACAGAAGACGAGTCGTCCGCGTCCTCCGTGGAGTCTGAGCCCGCCGAGGCCCCTGCCGTGGAGCCGCTGGAGGAGGCTGGTGCCGGGAGGCCACCAGCTCCGCCGGGACAGGGGGCCGGCAGCCAGCCGTCTCTGGCCACAACTGCTTCGGTCCCTCCGGCAGCAGCCTCCGCCGTGGCCAGGCCCCCAGCAAAGCCGGCCGTCTTCATCCCTGTGAACCGCTCCCCCGAAGTGCAGGTTTGCTGCTCTGTGTCTGCGACGAGCTCTCAGGCCAGCTCGGTGGGAGGGCTGAGGACGTGGGGCGGGGGGGGGTGCTGAGGGCAGGGAGGGGGACTAAGGACACAGTGGGCGGTGCTGAAGGCCAGGGGGGCTGAGGGCGCGGAGGGAGGCATCCATGTGCCTCGAGCAGGTAGAATGCCACCCCCCCCCGCCCCCTGTGGCCCAGTGTCCTCGCCCAGAACGGGAGTGACTTTACCTGCCTGTAGGGTCGTCGTGGAGACGTGGGCAGGTGCGCGTGCAGACGTGCTGACTGAGGCCCGGCACACGGGGCGAGGGCAGCTGGTGGCGCCCCCACTGTTATGAATGGTGACAAGAGCCATGGAGGAGACTGGGTGCCGGGAGGCGGGAGAACAGGAGGGCCGGGAAGGCACGTAGGGCAGGAGCTAGGAGACCAGCAGGTGCAGAGGAGAGGGGGCTGCCCCGCCCTGAGAGCCGCACAAGCAAAGGCCCTGAGGTAGGAGGCCTCCTGGGTCCTAGAGGGGCTGTTGCAGGCCACGGACTGTATTGTGGAAACAGGTGGGATGCCACCAGCTCCTCTCTTTTAATGGGGGAAAATAGACTAGAAAACAGCAGTGCAGATTCTAAGTAAGAATAAGAACCATTTATTGAAGTTGTGATTTCAGCTACGGGCACGTTTATGTGCTCGTGTATAACTAGGGCAAGCTGGCGGTGTGCCCTGGGTTCGTGCTACAGAGGTTTACTTCCATTTGCCGTCAGATGGCTGCTGGTGGTGTGGGAATCTGCTTCCCACGGTCCCCGAGGGGCCCGGGCTCCCCCATCGCATGTCCTGGCTGCTCCCGCCCCAGCTTCATCCCTTTCTCTGGCTTTTCCGCATACATGTCCCTAAGCGGTCATTACTTAGGTCTGCCTGTTGTTATAAGTGACATCACGTCATTTGTCTCCCTGCAGTTTGATTTTTTGGTTAAGTCAGTTTTACGTTTCGGAGATTTATTTGTGTTGCTGCATGTAATTGAAGTCCCATTTACTTTGGATTCTTTTCCCCACTGCTCTATGCTATTCCGTTCTGTGACTGAGCACAGTGCAAGTATCCTTCAAGTAGGGAATTCCCTACACGTGCAAAACTTTCTCTTGGGCGGTGTTTGCAAACTGAAGGTCACAGTCACCTGGGTCATGAGGTGACCAGCACTTTCTGTTTTTGAAACAAATGGAGGAGAACAGAAATAGAACAAAATGTTTTAAATTTGCGTGTTAGCGTGCTTCACACAGTGAAGGTGTAAGCCGTGGTTCGTAAAACTCCTTCAGTGTATAAAACATCTGACCCTTGAACAACGCGGGGTGGGGGCTCCGATGCCCCCCTCGCAGTCACAAGTCCACATGCGACTTTTGCCTCCCCCAGAAACGTAACTACTGGTAGCCCACTGTTGACCAGAAGCCTCGTAACACGAAACAGTTGACTCACGCGTGTTTTATATGTTACATGTATCATCCGTCATATTCTTTTTTTTCTTTATATTTTTATTTATTTCTAGGTGAGAGAGAGAGAGAGAGAGAGAGACAGCGTGAGCAGGGGAAGGTCAGAGAGAGAGGGAGACACAGACTCTGAAATAGGCTCCAGGCTTTGAGCTGGCAGTCAGCACAGAGCCTGACGTGGGGCTCGAACCCACAAACCGCGAGATCATGACCTAAGCGAAAGTTGGACGCTTAACTGACTGAGCCACCCAGGTGCCCTAGAAGAGGAAACATTTGTAGTCCTGTACTTTTATTTTCTTTTTTTTCTTTTTTTTTTTTTTATTTATTTCTAGGAGAGAGAGAGAGAGAGACAGCGCGAGCAGGGGAGGGTCAGAGAGAGAGGGAGATACAGACTCTGAAATAGGCTCCAGGCTCAGAGCTGGCAGTCAGCACAGAGCCCGACGCGGGGCTCGAACCCACGAACCGCGAGATCATGACCTGAGCGAAAGTCGGACGCTTAACCGACTAAGCCACCCAGGCGCCCCATGTAGTCCTGTACTTTTAAAAATCTTTTTGAAGTAATCTCTACACCCTATGTGTGTCTTGAACTCAGGACCCTGAGATCACGCTCTACAGACCGAGCTGGTCAGGCACCCCTAGTCCTGTAGTTTATGGAGAAAAATCCGTGCAGGAGGAAGCAGCCCCACACAGTTGTTCAAGGACAGCTGTCCCTGAGGACATCCACTGTGGCACGAGAGGTCCCCGCCTCCGTCTCTGTCCCCTGTGGCGGGCCCTCGCTGACTTTGCTGGGAGGGCTCATGACATCCACACGCCCACGGCCAGCTTTATAGAGACCACGTCACCCTTCATAGTCTTGACGATCCCCTCTGCCGTTCTGCTGGGGGGTCCCCTGCCCCCCAGTTTCCTGAGCACTGGCTTCCTCTCTCTGCCAGGAAGAACGGCTGAAGCTCCCGATCCTTGCCGAAGAGCAAGCGATCATGGAGGCAGTGGCCGAGCACCCCATCGTCATCGTGTGCGGTGAGACCGGCAGCGGGAAGACCACGCAGGTGCCACAGTTTCTCTACGAAGCAGGCTACGCCAGGTGGGGGCTGGGGGCTGGCCGCAGGGTTCTCCGCTACCCCTCGGGTGATCCCCAGGAGTTACTATGAGGGTGAGCTCCCAGGACCCTAACTCCAGGTCTGTCATTTATATGCTGTGTGGCTTTGGGCAAGCTACTTAACCTCTCTGGGCCTTGGTGTCCTTGTGCAGTCCTTGGACCTACTTCACACGGTTGTCGTGTGCAGGAAATGAGAGGGTTTCTCATCTAAGTAAAATGCTTAGATCCGTCCCTGGCATGTAGGATGGTGCATTTATTAATGTCATCTCCTGTTGGCACTTTTGACCTGTGTGTCACGGGTCCCCAAGACCACCCCAGGTTCATGGATTTGCTAGAAGGCTTGTGGGTCCCAGCATGTAGTTGTACACGTGAGTGTGATTTCTTAGAGCGGAAGGACCCAAAACACGACGGGCAGAGGGCAGAGGTGCGTGGGGTGGAGTCTGGGAGGACCCGGCTTAGGCTTTCACAGCTCCCTCCTGGGAGGGTCACACGGAAGCAGTAATTGTGACGAGCTGTCACCAGACCAGCCGAGTAGAAGCTGAGCGCCCAGGGTGTTGGTTGGGGTCAGACCCCTCTGCCTGGTACCTGCCCAAGTCCAGGCACCCAGAAGGAAAGCAGGTGTTCAGGATAAACCAGACGGTTTGTACAATCAGTCCAGGTACAGAGAGCCCCCCGTTGTCAGGGTCGGGAACCCTCTGAGATTTGGATCCCAGACACCAGCTGCCATGAACCCAGTAAGCAGACCTTTCTGAGAAGTCCGGCCTCGGGCTTCTGTGCTGCCTGTGGCCTGCACAGCCTGGAAAGCAGGTGCCAGGCCCTTGGCAGGTGCCGTGTCTCACGGAGCACGCGCTCGCTGGCTCCGGGCCATCTCGGCCCCAGCCTCCCATCCGCGGCTGCCGGCTTTCTGTTACACGGTGACTCCCACGGCATCTGCGTGCGGATCGCCGGGCTGTCCCCTTTTGCTGTCAGGTGGTGCCATGTCACCTCTAGGGAGGGTCACTCCGTACAAGGAGTCCTGACGCAGAGCCGCGTGTGACCATGGGACGGACAAGTGGGCCTGAGCACAGCTCACGTGTCCTGTCTCTCTCTCCCAGTGACAACAGCATCATCGGCATCACGGAGCCCCGCAGAGTGGCTGCTGTGGCCATGTCCCAGCGAGTGGCCAAGGAGATGAATCTGTCACAGCGGTGAGGGCTCAGCGTCCTGGAGGAGGGGAAGGGGTGGCCCCCGGCCTGGCCCTGCCCGCTGTCTGTAGGAGCTGAGGGGTTCTGGACGCTGTCCGTCCTGAGGGGGCTGGGTGTGTTCTGGGCGCTGTCCGTCTCCAGGGTGCTGAGCGGTTCTGGACACTGTCTGGACAGTGCTGGGTGTGTTCTGGGCACTGAACGTCCTGAGGGGGCTGGGTGTGTTCTGGGCGCTGTCCATCTCCAGGGTGCTGAGCGGTTCTGGACACTGGGCAGTGCTGGGTGTGTTCTGGGCACTGAACGTCCTGAGGGGGCTGGGTGTGTTCTGGGCGCTGTCCGTCTCCAGGGTGCTGAGCGGTTCTGGACACTGTCTGGACAGTGCTGGGTGTGTTCTGGGCACTGAACGTCCTGAGGGGGCTGGGTGTGTTCTGGGCGCTGTCCGTCTCCAGGGTGCTGAGCGGTTCTGGACACTGTCTGGACAGTGCTGGGTGTGTTCTGGGCACTGAACGTCCTGAGGGTGCTGGGCGGGAGTGTGGCTCCTGCACCTGAGCGGAGGCCCCCTCCTGCAGGAAGCCTTTCCACACTCCAGACAGCAGGGCTTCCTGGGGAGAGGACCATAGGCCAAGGACAAGCCCACCGGGCCCTTGGGCTCACTTCTTGCACAGTGCCCTGAGGAGACCGTGGCCCTGATGGGCTCAGCACGGAGCAGAGCGGCCGGTGGCAGGAGGCAGGCGGGCGGTGGTTAATGGTCGGCATCATCTGGGAGTTTCAGGCAGGGCTCCTGAGTGAGGGCCCCTGTGGGCGGCGAGGCTGTAGGACTTGATGTGGGAAACAGAACAAAGCAGGCAGAGCACACGCCTGAGAGTGGCCGGGGGCCGCGTTTACACTGCACAGGCCTGGGCCTCGGCCCACACCAGGCACTAGCATGTCCACTCTGGTCTAGAACCGAGAAAGTCCCCTTCACCTGCCCTGTTACTGAATATTTACCAAGCAGCACCTGCTGTGGGCCGGCCCACCCCCTGGGCCTGGCATGCAGCTGGGGGAGGCTTGCTGCATTTGCACGTTGGGGGGCACGGTACCCCCAGCGTGTTTCCTGTGGATTGTTCTAGACAGTCATAGACACAGACAAGCGACTGTGTGCATCGGTTTGTCCGACTTGTGCATACGTGATTCGTATTGTTTACCTCTTCTGTATCTTTCCCGTTCTGTTTAATGGTAAATGTGGAAAATAACAGGAGGTACAAAGCTGCTGGTTTTGGTTATCGTTTTTTTTTCTTTTTTTTAAAGCATTATGGTTTGGTTTTGTTTTTTTTTTAAATATTTTTATTTATTTATAGGAGAGAGAGAGACAGCATGAGCAGGGGAGGGTCAGAGAGAGAGGGAGTCACAGACTCTGAAACAGGCTCCAGGCTCTGAGCTGGCAGTCAGTACAGAGCCTGACGCGGGGCTCGAACCCGCGAACCGCGAGATCATGACCTAAGCGAAAGTCGGATGCCTAACCGACTAAGCCACCCAGGCGCCCCTGGTTATCGTTTTTAACTTTTTAAGAGATGTTTATTTATTTTGAGAGAGACAGTGAGAGCAGGAGAGGGGCAGATAGAGGGAGAGAATCCTAGGCAGGCCCCACACTGTCTGTGCTGAGCCCAATGCGAGGCTCAGTCACACAAACCGTGAGATCATGGCCTGAGCCCAAATCAAGAGCTGGGGACTGACTGTGCCATCCAGGGCCACCCCCCACCCTTAGTTTTTTGTTGTGGAAAATTTTAAGCACATGAAAAGTAGAAAGCGTAGTGAATGAGCTCCGGTGACCCAACACCCAGTCCCGGTGATGGTTAGCTGGTGGCGGACTTTGTTCCCTGCGCCCCCGGGGTTCAGAGCTGCCGTTGGAGAGCTGCTTACTCGGGCTTTCGCCATCGGGCAGAAAGCTCCAGGCTCTGTGTCATGTCTGTGAGGGAAGGACTGTGAAACAGTTGCAGCGCCCGCACCGTAAGTGATACTCGTGACACCGGGCGTGTCCCCTGCCGTCTCTCTTCTAAACGGTTCTCATAGTTGGACGTTCAGATTGCGCTCCGGCCAAGGTCCGCGTTCGTTCGACCCCTTCTTCAGAGGCCTGTGACCGCCCCTCCGCGTCACTTGGTGGCTGCTCCGGCCTCCGTGGCCGCCTCCGTGTGGCTGCAGCCAGTTGGGGCCTTGCCTGCCCCGAGCCTCAGCCTGTCCCTGTCCCTGCAGGGTCGTCTCCTATCAGATCCGATACGAAGGGAACGTGACGGAAGAGACCAGGATCAAGTTCATGACAGATGGCGTGTTGCTCAAGGAAATCCAGAAGGTCGGTTGCTCGTCTCGTCTCAGAAAGCAAGGCCGGTGACACGGGGTGGGCGGTCCCAGCAGTCATCGTGCTGGCTGCTGGCCGAGCACCGCTGGGTCACCTGGGCAGCTTCCGTCCCCTCCCTCCTTGATCCCTAAGCCGGTACCTTCCTTGGGCAGTTGTGCTGACGCAGAAATTATGACGTGTCCGTGCGCCTTAGGGTAACGCCTTGCGGGTGCTCGTCAGCGGGAGCTCCTGTTGTGAGGGTTTGGTTCACGGACCGTGTGCCGCAGCCACCCGCGTAGCGCTCCTGGCTGGCTGTGCGGCATCCGCAAGGGCGGAGGGGACGCCCGTCTGCTCTGCCATAAGCCGGCCGGGGTTGCCAGGGAGGTGGCTGTGACTGGCTCATGTGTGGTTCGCTGCGGCTCCTCTCTGTGTGGGAGACGCTGTCCCAGTGTCCTCTGTCCCGTCCGCCACCCCCTCGTTCCCTGAGCCCCCCTCCCCCACACACACTCTACAGCCTCATTCCCTGTGCACCCCCCCTCCCCACACACACTCTACAGGTGCCGGGATTTGGTAGCTGCCCTTTCTCCAGCAGTTTCTCTGCCAGGCGCCAGGCTGTGTACTTTACAGATAGTATTTGTCACGGAAACTTCCCTGTGACCCCGTTAAATGGGGAAATGGACACAGGGAGGTGAAATAACGTGCCTGAGGTCACGAATCACCCCACCAGTGCTCCAGGATCGGTGCCAGCCGTGAGGGGCCCCTGGGGGAGTTCCGGGCTGCGGGGGCCCCTGGAGAGGCGCGGGCCTCACCGTGCCGCCCTCCCCAGGACTTCCTGCTGCTGAGGTACAAGGTGGTGCTCATCGACGAAGCCCACGAGAGGAGCGTGTACACGGACATCCTGATCGGCCTCCTGTCCCGCATCGTGTCTCTCCGGGCGAAGGTGGGGGGACAGGTGGTGGGTTGGCGCACAGGGGTCGAGCGAGAGAAAGGCTCCTGAGCACCGTGTCCTTCGGGCCTGGGCGGGGGGGCCCCTGTGACTTGGGGGTGAGCAGCCCCTGTGACTCCGCCCCCTTGGAATCCTGGGTCTGGCCGTGTCACCCTTCCGTCCGTCGCCCCATCTGTCCTCCCGCAGAGGCACCTGCCGCTGAAGCTGGTCATCATGTCGGCCACGCTGCGGGTGGAGGACTTCACACAGAACCAGCGGCTCTTCGCCCAGCCGCCTCCGGTCGTCAAGGTAGCGCCCTGGCGGTGAGGGGGGCAGGGCCTGTGGGCTCACACGGCGCGACCCCTGGTCCCGAAGCCGCTCCCGCAAGGCCCTGCCCTGCTGGTGGAGGCTGAGACCGGGAAGCCGTGGGGAGCTGACAGCTCCGGGGTCAGAGAGGCAGGGAAGGGGGGTCACCGAGCTCAGCCCCCACCCCTCACCCCCGGTGCCTCCGTGGGCCTGTGTCGCAGGTGGAGTCCAGGCAGTTCCCAGTGACGGTGCATTTCAACAAGCGGACGCCGCTGGAAGACTACAGTGGCGAGTGCTTCCGGAAGGTCTGCAAGATCCACCGTATGCTGCCGCCAGGTGAGCCCAGGCGAGCAGACAGCGGCTCTCCACTCCCAGGCCCAGCCTGTCGGGCTGTCGTCCCGCCCTCTCCCCGGGCCGCCCCTCCCCTGCTGGCTCTCTCCTGGGGCGGAACGTACATAAGTTGTACCGTTGTAACCATGTTTAAGCGTATAGCTCGGCGCCATTAGCGCATTCACAGTGCAGACTTACTTCTTTGCTGTCCTCTACTCATTCATGCTTCGCAGATGCTGCATTTTTTACAAATCCGGGTTTGTCGCAATCCTGCATCAGGCCAGTCGATCGGGCCGTTTTCAACAGCGCTTGCTCACTTCTCGTGTGTGTGTCACATCCTGGTGATTCTCGCAGGATTTCAGACTTTTCCATTGTATTAGTCACCAGAGATCTGTTTGCAGTGATCACAATTCCCTGAAAGCTCAGATGATGGTTAGCATTGTTTAGTAATATTTAAATTAACACACACACGTTGTTTTCTTAGGCAGTAGCGCTATTGTGCACTTATTAGATTACAGCGTAGCGTGAGCATAACTTCCGTGTGCACCGAGCAAGCACACAACTCGTGTGACTCGCTTCATTGTGACACTGGCTTCTTGGGTGGTCTGGCACCAGACCCGCGGCATCTCTGAGGCGTGCCTGTGCCGTGCGGGCCGTCCCTGCCACCCACAGCAGCAACTCTGTCCCCGTGAAACCCTGACTCCATCCCCTGCCCTGGCCCCTCCCCCCTTCTGCCTCCTGTGCCGACGCATCTGTTTGTTCCGGACACTGTAGAGATGAACTCATTCGACAGGTGGCCTTTCGTGCCTGGCTTCGTTCCCGTAGCGTTGCTTTTTGAGGTTCATCTGTGTGTCCTCTGCTGTGTGGACGGACTGCACTCTAGTTACCCATCCCCCAGCCCATGGACGCTCGGGCGGCTGTTGTGAATGGGGCTCCCGTGAGCATCTGTGCACAGGTTTTGGGTGGCTCCCCTCTTTCCCGGCCTTCTGGGCTCCTGCCCAGGAGTCAGACAGCCAGGTCGTGCAGGAGGTCTGTCCAGATCCCTGTCACCCGTCCCCTGCGTGCGGGCGTGTCACTCAGTCCTGCCGTGACTGGCTCTTCCTGACGCCCAGCTCCTGGCAGGTGGTGGCTGCTAAGGAGATGTTTGCTCCATGGGTGACCGGCTAGCCGAGGGGTCTGGCTCTTTCCGCAGGCGGCATCCTGGTGTTCCTGACGGGGCAGGCAGAGGTGCACGCGCTGTGCCGCAGGCTGAGGAGAGCCTTCCCACACGCCAGACGCGGGCCACCAGGTACCCTGTCCACACTTGGCCCCGAGAGCCTCCCGTGGGAGAGCCGGCCTGCCTTGCTGTCCCCAGTAAGTGGCCGGCCGTGCGGTGGCTTACTCGGGACGGTGAAGAGCAGAGTCCTGGTCACCTGGGTGTGGCCTCAGGGCATTTCCCTGCTCAACCTGCTCTTCTTGCAGAAAAGGAAGATGAAGAAGATTCAGTAGAGGCAACGCGGAAATTTAAGAAGTCAAGGACGAGGGCAAAGAAGGCCCAGGCAGCGGTATGTAGAGGCGCGTGGGGGGCTTGGGGCTCTGAAGCTGCCTCCTCTGGTGGCCGGTGGCCCCGTGTGGCTCTGCAGATGCCAATTTAATTAAGATGAAGTAAAAGTAAGGTTCAATTTTAATTGAATGAGTCCCATCAGATGCATTTCAGGTGCTCAGTACCCACCTGGGTCTGCTGCTGGCCGTGCTGGGCCTCCGGGGTCCAGAACATTCCTACCGTGGAAGAGAGTTCTGTTGGGTGGTGCTGCCCCAGAGGCGGCAGGGTGGGCTGTGATTTGAAGGTCCCTGTGCTGTGGACCAGGAAGAAGCTTCTGGAAGCCCGGCCCTGAGGTCCGGAGCAGGGCCTGCGAGGATGCCTGGGAGCAGACAGAACAAGGGCACGGGTCCCACGCGATGTCGTCACGGTTCTGGGGGCGGCAGCGTCCTTACCGCCGCACAAGTGTCGACTGGCCTGTGCGGCGGCCCGCTGACCAGCCCAGGGGCCATCCCGGCGTTGAGGCGAGGAGGCAGGCAGGACGGTTGTGAGGGCCCGAGAGCGGTGAGGCAGGGCCTCGCTCTCGCACGACAGTCTCCCCTGCCCGGGACCGTGGCTCCTGCAGCCGTGGTTCCGATGCCTTGTTTGCCGTAGACGTTGCCCCAGATCAGCCTGGACAGCTACTCGGTGTTGCCGGCAGGCGAAGGCGATGAGGACCGGGAGGCAGAAATGGACGAGGATGAGGCGGCGGCCGCCCTGGGCTCCGACCTTGACCTGGACCCGGGGGACGACGGGGCAGACGGAGGTGTGCCCCGGGCAGGGCGCCTGCTCGCGCTCCCTCTGTCATTCGCTTGGCGGGTGTGTGTGGATTAACCCCGTGGTTAGGCCCAGCCGTGCTGATCTCGAGCCTCAAGAGGGCCGGGCTCTGGGGCTGCCCTGCGCCTGCTGTTTGCTGAGCTCCTGCAGCTGCCTGCGGATAGAGCCGGATAGAGGCTCTGACGCCGGCTCCACGTGGTGGGCGTGCCACCCCCAGGCTCCGCCTTGCTGGGTGAAGCCAGGCCTCAGGGCTGCCTGGGAGGCCCCCAGTGCGGAGACGACCCAGGGCCTGGTGGGGAGCCCGGGGCACGCAGCAGGCAGCGGGACTCGTGGCCAGACTCCCCGCAAACCTGTCCAGCGGGGCGGGAGTTCCGCACCTGGGGGTGGGGGGCGGGGGGGGGCTCCTGAAGAGCCTCCAGGAGCCTCTCAGAGTCTGCTCGCCGCTGTGCCGGGCCCCTGGCAGCGGGTGGGGCAGGTCGGGGGACACCCGGCAGCCTGAGGTGGGCTCTCCCCGCAGGTGTGCAACCGGACGCGTCGCTGCCCCTGCACGTGCTCCCGCTCTACTCCCTGCTGGCCCCGGAGAAGCAGGCGCAGGTAACTGTGTGTGCCCCCCTCCCCCCGCCCCGAACACCGCGATGGGGCAGGTCGGGCCTGGGCTGTGCTCCTCAGCCGTTTGGTCCGCACTCCAGTCAGGGAGGGTGTGGGGTCTCCTTGGAGAATAGGAACGCATCCTTGCGTCTGCGCTGAGGAACGTGGTGGCCAGCGGGGGCGGGAAGGGTTTGTCCACCTCGCCCCCCTGAGCCCCTAGCCTGGCCAATTTCTCAGGGGTCAGGAGCCTCCCGTGTCTGCCGCCAGCTCTTCCCTGATTCCAGTGTTTTCTTGCTGCTTCCGCTCCCCGACAACCCCAGGTCTTCCAGCCTCCCCCGGAGGGGACACGGCTGTGCGTTGTGGCCACCAACGTGGCCGAGACGTCCCTCACCATCCCGGGCATCAAGTACGTGGTGGACTGTGGGAAGGTGAAGAGGAGGCACTACGACCGTGTCACCGGCGTGTCCTCCTTCCGAGTCACCTGGGTGTCCCAGGCCTCAGCCGACCAGCGGGCGGGCCGGGCAGGCCGGACAGAGCCAGGCCACTGCTACAGGTGGGCCTCCCCGGGCCTCCGGTGACGTTGCAGTCCCTCTGTGGCAGCCACCGGGGGGGGGGGGGGGAGGAAGGGGCTGTCCCTAGTCTGTAGTGGTGCCGAGTCCCCCTGGGAACAGTCCTTGGGGTGCTGTGCTGGCTCTCGAGCACCCGTGTTATTTCTTTACTCTGACTTTTAAGTGATACTTATATTTAGCTATTTTGTCTGGTTTTATGTTGTCGCGGCTCTGCGGGAATACCAGTAATGTGCCAGAACTTCGGCCATTTTCAAGTGTGCACTTCCTGCATTTGGTGTTCTCAGAATTGTCCAGGTGTCCCCCCAGCCGGTCCCAAACGTCGTCACCGCAGAGGCAGCCCCCATCAGTTAGGCATTTCCTCACAGCAGCCCCCTCCCGTCCCCTAGCTTGGTCGTGTGTTTCTGCTTCCCCTGGGCCTCCCCCTGGGGGGGGGGGGGGGGGGGCTGCTGGGTCACGTGGTCACTCCTGCAGTTTCCACGGCGGCCGCCCGCTCTGTTCCCAGCAGCCGTGCACACTGGTTCCGGTTTCCCCACCTTCCTGTGAACGCCTGCTACTTCCCGTTTTCAGAGAAACGCATGTGCGCGTGGTGGCTCACTGTGCACGTTGCGTGGCCCCGACGGCTGATGGCATCTTCTCACGTGCTGTTGGCTTTTTGTGTTCTTGGGAGACATGTTTTTCATTTCTTTTGCTCATTTTTTAAAGGTGTTTAAAAAATAACACCTTTATTGTTGAGTTGAAAGAGATCCTTACCTAATCTGGGTCTTAGCTCCTTGTCAGAGGCGTCGTTGGCAAATATCTTCTTGTCTGTTTGTTAGTGTTAATTGATTCTCTTATAGGAGGGTTTTTTGATAAACCATGAAAAGAAGCTAAACAACCATATGGAGAAAACTAGTGAGGAGACGGTAGTTTTGGTTCCCAGGGACTGTGCGTCAGGCACTGTTGTCCCGGGCGTGTGGCGTGTGACGTCTGTGCCCCAGCCCTGGCGAGTCACCTCGGCCGGTCCCGCAGGAGACAGAAAGAGGCTTGAGGAGGGCGGATGGCAGCCCTTGTGCGCGTCTGGGTCGAGACCCAGTGCCACGAAGCCTGGCACTCTTTGTTTATAAAGTGATGGTGTTCTTTCTGATGCTTCTTCCCACCCAGGCTCTATTCGTCTGCGGTTTTCGGTGACTTTGAGCAGTTTCCTCCTCCTGAAATCACCCGGAGGCCAGTTGAAGACTTGATTCTGCAGATGAAAGCACTCAACATCGAAAAGGCAAGTGGCAGCCCCAAGCCCACCAGCAGCCCCCAACCCCCCGCGGGGAGCAGAGCCCCTGGCGCCGGCCCGGCCGCCCGCGCGCTCTCATGGGGCGCTGCGTCCATGTGTGCCCGGGGCTCCCAGACACCGCTTCCCCAGGGCTGCACCCCTGGGACACCCAGGGGACGGCTGCCTGCGACGGAAGCTACACAGGGAGGCACAGACGCCTGGCGCTGTCCTTGGGGCTCACAGAACGTTCTGCTGACATGGTCCTCACGTTGCACCTGTCCGGGGCTCCCTGCCTTTCTGCTGCCCTGTGAGGGGTTGTGGGGGCAGACAGACAGACAGACCCTGGACCCATTAGTCCTTTCCCGTTCCTTCCACCCTGACCCCCGGGCAAACTGCGCGTCGGCTTTCTGTCCCTGTGGCTTTGTCCGTTTTGGACATTACGTACAAAAGGAGTCGCTCACAGAAATGTCTTCGGGGTCCCCCGCGCTGTGGCACCGTGCCACATCCTCCCTGCGGCCCAGGGTCGCTGCCGTACAGCCAGTCCGCTTAGTTGTCGGCGCCTGGGGTGTGTCCGCCTGTGGCTGCAGCAGAGCCGCCGGGAACACGGCGTGTACGCGTCTGTTAGAACGCTGGTTTTGAGTTGGTCCCATGTGGAGCCCGGTCCCTCTGTCCCCTCTATTACGTGCGGGGACATTTGCTCCTGTTCACTTACGTGATTGCTCCCTGGTCGTCAGGGGCCCCTTCTGGTTGAATGAAATCTCGGTGGGAGGCAGAGCCCTGGCCTTGTGCTTTCTTGGTCTCTGTTCCAAGAACAGCCCCTGGCACACGTGGGGTGCCCAGTGAGTGCACACGTGGGGTGCCCAGTGATCTACATATGAGGTGCTCAGTAAGTGCATACACGAGGTGCTCAGTGGATGTGCATACGATGCCTAGTGGATGCACACAGGAGGCCCTTAGTGACCGCACACGAGGTGCCCAGTGATGTACATACGAGGCACTCAGTGAATGCGCACACGAGGTGCCCAGTGGATGCACTCCTTGGGCGCTCATCTGTCCGGAGCGCGTGCGTCGTGTGAAGGAAGGGGTCCCCCGGCACAGCGCGCTGGAGCGTGCCCAGGCTGCTGCCTGGGCGCCCGGCGGTGTGAGCCGCCTCAGGACAGGTGTGGGAGCGGCGCCCCTTGCAGGCGGCCCCGCTGCCCCTCGCGGTCACTGCACGTGCTTCTCCGCACTCACTGCCGCCCCTCCCGCGTCTCCCCTGCCCAGGTCATCAACTTCCCCTTTCCGACCCCTCCCTCCGTGGAGGCCCTCGTTGCCGCTGAGGAGCTGTTGGTGGCGCTGGGTGCCCTGCAGGCGCCCCAGAAGACAGAAATGTAGGTGGGGCTGGGGGTGGGGGTGGGGGGCAGAGAGCCCCAGGGCCACTCGGCCATGACCCCCTACTGCGCGCCTGCGTCCCCCAGGGTGAAGGAGCTGCAGAGGTCGCGGCTGAGCTGCCCCATCACCGCGCTGGGCAGGACCATGGCCGCGTTCCCCGTGGCGCCCCGCTACGCCAAGATGCTGGCGCTGAGCAGACAACACGGCTGCCTGCCCTACGCCATCACCGTCGTGGCTGCCATGACGGTCCGGGAGCTGTTCGAGGAGCTGGACAGGTGGGCGTGCGAGGGGCTGCCCTGCGTGGCGCAAAGGCCTAGGGCCTGGCCCCCCGGAGAGTAGCTGGCGCGGGGGGTGGCCCGTGCCCACTGTGGTCCTCCGTGAGCTGGGTGGCGTCCGATCCCGGAGAGCTCTGCCCGCACAGAACACCTGGGGCACAGACGTCCGGGGTCGGTGGTAAAGCGCCCAGGAGTCCAGGCTGTGGGCCAGGCCGCCAGGGTTCATGTCTCCCTCTGCCACTTCCAGGCTGTGTGGCCGTGGGGAGGCAACGTCACTTCTCTGTGCCGCCTCTTTCCCATTTGGAAAACAGGGATGAGACGTTAATAACGATTGAGTTGTTGTCAGGGTTGAAGTAGTGGATGCGAGCAAAGGACTCCAAACCGTGCCTGGCAGGTCCCTTAACCCATGTGTCCGCTCTCTCCGGGCAGGGGGCCAGGAGAGTAATCTATGCAGGCCCCGCTCGGTGGCTGTAACAGCAGCGTTCGGGGCTTTTGCGTTGCTCTGAGCAGTGCAGCAACGTGTGATGTTACTTGTTTGTCTGATCCTTCCTGTGTCGGCTCTAGACGTGGAATGGCCGGGTCAGGATGCCGGCGCGTGTTTACTCTTGTGAGCTGCTGGTGGGGACTTGATTCTGAGACCTCAGTTGTGTTCACTGGTGGCCCCACAGGGCATTTCCTGTGGCCCTGAGGGCGGCCAGGCGGGTAGCCCGGGTGCTATGTGTGTTTTCAGACCGGCCGCCAGTGACGAGGAGCTCACCAGGCTGAAGGCCAAGCGGGCCCGGGTGGCCCAGATGAAGAGGCTCTGGGCTGGGCAAGGCGCCTCTCTCCAGCTTGGGGACGTCATGGTGCTGCTGGGTGTGTGCCCGGTGCGGCCTGTGGGGGGCAGGGGGGCGGGTGGGCCTGGCCCTGGCAGTGAGCGAGGGGGGAGCTGGTGGGCCTGGCGGGGCAGCGGGCGAGGGGGGGGTGGGCCTGGCGGGGCAGCGAGCGAGTGTGCGCCTCGTCCACAGGGGCGGTGGGCGCCTGTGAGTACTCTGGCTGCTCGCCCCAGTTCTGCGAGGCCAACGGGCTTCGGTACAAGGCCATGATGGAGATCCGGCGCCTGCGGGGCCAGCTGACCACTGCAGGTACCGTCCCTCCCCCCCATGCCAGCCGCTGGGGGACTCCCACATCCTGCCGTTTTGGGGCAGCCCTCGGCAGACAACTTGACCACTTTGATGTTTAAAGTGGTTTGGAGCAACGCCACCCACCTACGGCCACTCCCCGTTACCCCGGTTTCCACGTGTGCAAATCTGTCTCCCTTCCAGGACTCATTTGTGACCCAAACCAGGACTTACTGGGCGCTTCCCCGGCGTGCACGGGAGCAGAGGGATAACGTTAGCAGAGGAATTCCCATCGGGCCCTTCCTCGGTCTCCTCTTCTCCTTAGTGACGTTCCTCTTGTCACCCTCTGCCCCCCGCTCTGGCCTGGACCCGCTGCTCATTGTACCCCCTTCCCAGGGGCCCCCGCGCTCCCCATAGCCTCACCCTGGGGCTCCCCACTCCTTGTACCATGGCCAAGTGGAGGGCCCCTTTTTAGGGGTCGGGGAGCAGCCCCCCCCCTCTGCCCCTGGGCCGAGCCGGCAGAGAGCAGGCCTGCGTGAGGCCGCGTCGGGCCTGGAGCGGGGGACAGACGCCCCACGCACGGAGGCTGCCGGGCTTCCACATTCTTTCCCTGGGACCCGGTTTTCCCTGTTTCTTTCCTTTTTTCCCTTCCTTTGTCTTAAACAGCATCCGTTTTGCTGAAGGTTTTGGGAGAAACAGGAGGCTTACGTAGCAGGTTTCAGAGCAGAAACCGTGCGGCCTGTGCCCACCCTCCCTCCTTGTCCTGGTCCCCTGGTCCTCCACCCTGCGTGTCCCCCTCCGAGGCACAGGGCCCAGAGCCCCCATCCCCTCTCTGCCCCTGCAAGGCACCCCACAGCTTCAGGACCCCCCCCCCGCCTCGTGCAGAAGGCCGAGGCCTCGCCTGCTGTCATGCCTGCCTCGGTGGCCTCCCCGCAGCTGCTCAGGAGCAGACGGTCTCACCCCAGTGTGCACGCCGGGGGGGCCCCCTCCAGGCACATGTAGGCCGAGCACGGTCTCCCTCGGCAGCTCACTCTGCTGCCCGCTGAGGACTTGGGGTCTTGTCCTAAGGGACAGGGGGCGCGGTTTGGGGCAAGTGGCTGGGGGCACGCCAGCAGCCTCGGTGGAGAAGAGCCAAAGCGAGCAGGTGGCTGTGTCTGGACTTCACGCTGAGTGCTGGGGTGCCTTCCAGAAGGTCAGGGCAGAGGCGGCCCCGGCCTCACCGTCCGCACCACTGCCATCCTCATAGCCAGCTCTCTCCACAGTCAATACCGTGTGCCCTGAGGCCGGGCTTTTCGTGGACCCCAAGATGCAGCCGCCTTCTGAGAGCCAGGTGACCTGCCTGCGGCAGATCGTGGTGGCCGGCCTGGGCGACCACCTGGCCCGCAGGGTCCAGAGCGAGGACCTGCCTGACAACAAGTGGAAGAACGCCTACAAGGTCAGCCTCGGGGGCGGGCGGCGGGTCGCTGCACCAGGCCCTCCCCCCCCGTTCCCCTCTAGGCAGCCCCCCCACCAAGGATCGGGGTGGGGTTACCGTGGGCTCCCGTCTTCCTTTGGGCCCCAGCTTAGCCCCAACAGCTGAGTTCAGAGAGAAATCACATACTGTACAAGTCACCATTTCGAGGTATGTGTGGTCTGGAGGGATTGAGTCTCTTCACCCAGAGATGCAGCCGTCACCACAGCCAGTTCCAGATGCGTTCAGCACCCCAAAAATCCTCCCGTCTGCTAGCATGGCCCCTCGCTCACCCCCTGGATCTGCTCTGTGTCTGTGCCGGATGCTTGGCATTGGCGGAGCCGGACAGCATGGGTCGGTGACGGATGCACGGAGAGCCACGCGGGCGGCTGGCGGAACGCCCTCCTGTGCTCCGGGCTGAGCATGTGATCCTGTCCACGCGGGCTAATCTCAGCTGTGTGCGCGCGGCTCCTGGGCTCACGCCCACTCGCCCTGTCTCCGCAGACCCCTCTCCTCGATGAGCCCGTCTTCATCCACCCCAGCTCCATCCTCTTCAGAGAGCTCCCGGAATTTGTGATCTACCAGGAGATCGTGGAGACCACCAAGATGTACATGAAAGGTAACCAGGCTGGTGGCCAGCCCCTCGCCCCGCCCACCGCGGCTCCGCTCAGCTGTCACCGGGACCCTGTGCGCGGAGAGCCCGGGAGGCCCTCCCATGGCGGGCCCGCTGTGACCCCCGGCCCCCTCCTCCTGGCCCCCAGGCGTGTCGGCCGTGGAGGTCCAGTGGATCCCAGCCCTGCTGCCTTCCTACTGCCAGTTCGACAAGCCCCTCGAGGAGCCGCCCCCCACCTACTGCCCGGAGAAGGGGCGGGTGCTGTGTCACCGGGCCAGCGTGTTCTGTGAGTCGGGGTGCCGGCGGGCGTGTGGTCATGCGGCACGTGCCCTGGGAGCGTGTGGCGTGGGTGGTGTCACCCAGGCCTTCCTCCTCTTTGGTGGGTGGGCCCCGGGGCGCAGGGACGGGGGACCCGTGGGGACCCACCCGCTCCTGCCCTCCAGATCGCGTTGGCTGGCCACTCCCCGCGGTGCAGGTGGATTTTCCGGAGGGCCTTGACTGCTACAAGCACTTTGCCCGGTTTCTGCTGGAAGGGCAGGTAGGCGGCCTGGCGGCTCCCTCGGCCCCTGGCGTCGCGGGCAGAAGGGGAGCCGGGGCCCCTCACCCTGTCGTGTGTTCTCTCCTCAGGTCTTCCCCAGGCTGGCCTCACACCGGGGCTGTTTGCTGTCCAGCCCTGGCACAATGCTGAAGACGTGGGCCAGGTTTGGGCTCGCCCGGAGCGACAGGTGGCGGGCGGTGGTGAGGGGAGTGGGGTTAGCGCCCTAGGGCGGCTGTGACAGATCCCTGCCAACCAACCGAGATGCTTAAGTCAACGGAGATGCATCTCTTGTGGTCTGGGAGGCCAGAGGTTGAAAGTCAATGTATCCGCCGGGCTGTGCTCCCTTTGAAGGCTCGGGGCAGGGGAGGAGGGTCCTTCCTGTCTTTTCCAGTCCGTGTGGGCCCAGGCGTTCCTCTCCCTGTGACCACATCGCCCCCACGTCTGCCTCAGTCTTCATGTGGCTGTCCCTCTCGGTCTCCACGCCTTCTCTTCTTGTACGGACACGTCGTGGGATCTAGGGCCCGCCCCCATCCAGTACGAGCCCCTTTCAGTTATCGTGTCCGCAGAAACCGTCTTCAGATGAGGCCACGCTCTGCGGTTTGGGGCAGGCCCGGGTCAGCCCACCGTAAGGCCCCAGGAATCAGCAGGAAGCGCGCTGGGGGCCGCCTGCTAGCTGGGCGCAGACGCACCGCCGTCCCGACAGCCTGCTCCTCCCCTCTGCTCTCTTCCTGCCCGGCGCCTCCGCCTTCCTGGGCCTGGGGTCCTGGCGGGGCAGGGGGCTTGACGTAGGAGGCAGGCTGCACACGCCCCCACATTCCCAGGGACCCTGGGTGGGGGCAGGGGGCCAGGTGCCCCCCGGCAGCCAAGTCATTCACCCGGCAGAGCATGGCGAGCACCAGCCGTGTGCCCGGAACATTCTCGGGCTGGGGTGCTGGGATGCCCCAGGGCAGGGGAGCGAACACCGAGGTAGAATGTAACTGGCGCAGGTGCCATGTGGAGACCGGGCCGCAGAGGGACCGAGCGGGATGTTGGGGATGAGGCGCCTGGGGGCGTAGGGTTGGTCCGGGGAGCCTGGCTGAGCAGATGGGGAGGAGGCAAGGCTGTGAACAGAGATGCGGGGGAAGGTTCTAGATGGGACGAGCAGCCCGCGTGGGGGCGGACAGGGACAGTGGAAAGCCAGGGTGGGGGTCGAGGTGGGTGGGAGGAAGGAGGTCGGGGTCTAGGCGCTCCTCTCTGGCCAGCACCCCCGGCGCAGCAGGGAGCCGGCCTGGGTGAGGCTGGCCTGGCAGTGGGGCCGGCCCCTTCCCGCAGCTTGGGGGCGCGGTGACGCCCTGCAGCGTGCGCCCCCTCCCACAGGCTGCAGCCCCGGACAGAGAGCCTCCTGAGAGCCCTGGCTGCGGAGCAGGCCAGCTGCCGAGACGCCGTGCTGGCGGCCTGGAAGAGAAACCCCAGATGTGAGTTCACCTGGGGCGCGTGCCATGTGGCCAGGGGGTCGGGTGGACTGGAGGGAGGCACCCGGGCACCCGGGCACGCCACGGTCAGTGGGAGGATCTGCCTGGCAGGCAGCCAGGTTCAGAGCCACCCTGACACTGACCTCTGTCCTCCCCCCCCCCCCCCCCCCCCCCCCCCCCCCCCCCCCCCGCAGACCTGCTGACCGAGTACTGCCAGTGGCTCCCGCAGGCCATGCACGCCGACGTCGAGAAGGCCTGGCCCCCCACCTCCGACCCCTGACCTGAGGCCGGACTGCGAGGCCAAGGACTTGTCTGGAGACCGAGGAGGCCGGCAGGGGTCACCCTGGAGGCGGCCAAGCCCCCAGAGACGTCCGCTCATCCTGGACGCGGACTGTCTGCACACGGCTTGCCGCTGCCCTGGGCAGTCTGGGCCGGGGGGCTTCTCAGGACTATTTATTGTGTGGGGCGCAATGGTGTCCTCTCGCTCGCTGCCCTGTGGACTGCACTGGTCCCCTGGAGGGCGGTGGCGGCGGTGGGGTGCGGGAGGGTGCGCGTGGCCCTCCCTCCGCCACCCCTGCCCTGCGGGCCGGGTGCCCCCTGGCCGAGCGTGCCGCCGTAATAAACCTTCACCGGCAGAACCACCCCGAGTGGGCCTAGCGATTGTCTGAATGTGGGGGAGGGGCTGTGCGCCTGCGGAAACTAGTCTGCGGGGATCACCCAGGCGCCCACCACGCCTGTAGGGGTGGTTGACCCCTGCCTTTACCCGGGTGTTTGTCCTGAATCAGTCTGTGCAGATGCACTAATTCTGTAGCGTGGATCCATAAATAAAACAGCAGGGATACGTGTTTGATATTCCAAAATTACTCTCTCCGTAGCTTGGCCATTAACCCCAGTGAACCCCCAAACCAGGAGGCCCCGCCCAATCTCCACATTCAGGCTGTGAGTTCTGGGGGCTCCACCCCCAGAGTTTGTCCAGGTCCCCCTCTTGCTCCCCAGCTGGCGCCCACAGACGCACCCCCAGTCCCTGAATCCCGAGCCTGCCCTGCCTGCTCCCCGGGGTCCACCTGCTGGCCCACCGTGTATTTTCCACGTGGCAGCCAGAGGGAGCCTTTTCCACCTAAATCTGATCATATCATGCCACATCAGGCCTTCTAGAATCTTCAGTGATAAAATCCAAGCCCCTTACACCCTCATTCACCAGACTCCATGCACGGGGATTGCTTTCAGTCTCTTCAAACAGCTCCCCTCTCCGTCCCCAGCTAGGGCGTCCGCACCTGCCGTTGCCTCTGCGTAGACAGGCCTGGCGGCTCATACACGGCGGCTCCCACACGCTTCCCCAGGCTCCAGCTCCTCGGTATTCCTGTCTTGCTGAACGCTAGTGTCTGGAACTCCAAGCTTGCTTGTTTTCTCCAGGAATACCAGGGCACTTCATTAACGCTGCACCCGGGCACACAGTAGGCGCTCCATGCATGCACAGCACGGCCTTAGGCGCTCAGGAGTCCCTGATTAAACAGCCAGTTGCAAAACCCTCCTTAGAAATCACTGCCTGATGACTCGAGTAACTGGAGCCTAAAAACGCGGATTCCGCCACACCCTCTTCCGCCGACCTATTCAAATCAGAATCGCCGCGGGGGAGGGGGTTACCCGGTAACCGCGTTTGAGACCAGGCCGGGGAGGTTTCCTAGCGCCGCAGTGTCCACGGGGACTTGTTTCTCACACCCGCTAATGGGGGGCATCTGGGTCCCCCTCCGCGCTTTGCCTTCTGGTGGTGCGACGGGTTTCGAACAAAAAAATAATAAAAGTGGAGATGCCGGGGATTGAACCCGGGGCCTCATACATGCAAAGCATGCGCTCTACCACTGAGCTACATCCCCTACGCGTGAATCCCGCGTCCTGGGAATGAGGATATCGGAAGCCACATCCTCGTCCCTTTCCCACGTTTTTTCCTCCCCGAACACTTAGAGTCCTACCGATTCCAAAAGGCCGCCCTGCGCCCCGGAAGCCCACTGGCCGGGCGCCCAGCGCTGCGCCGGCGACAGTCCCGGTGACGGATAGATGGGCGCGTGGCCGGTCGGCGCGGTATCTATATGAACTGACCCAAGAGAGGTCAGTGCAGCTAGTCCTCGTTAGTATAGTGGTGAGTATCCCCGCCTGTCACGCGGGAGACCGGGGTTCGATTCCCCGACGGGGAGGCTGGTAATCTGTTTTAAAGGCCCAACCTTGGCATCACCCGGGCATTCGTTTCTTAGCGTTGAAAAACGAAGAAACACATCTCTCTGGACCTGATAATTAATGGTCCCCTGCAAAGATATTCCTCCAAGCCCCTGCAATAAACAGTGTGATCCCGATAGGTTCCCTGTGTTTGAAGATATATACTTGGTGAGTATATTATTATTTCTACTTCTGATGTGCATCACAGTAGCAACAGTTACACAGCTCTTAGCGTTCCCGGGGCTGCAGTATTACAGCCGCGCACTCCTGCTGCTGGTGCGGGCTATCTGGTCACCGCAGGCAGGTGGACAAGCGGCTCCGTAACCTGCTTGGCCAAGGTGGCATCAATCACAGTCTGCTGGAGACACCGCTCACCTCTGGGGGGAGGGGCTGGCATATGGGGGGAGCGGCTCTCACCTTCCGTTCTGTACCGTCTGCACTGCTTGAATTTTATTCTTCTCCCTTCCTCCCTCTTTTCCTTCCTCACCCCCTCCCTTCCTCCCTCCCTTCCCCTCTCCCTTCCATCCTTCTTTCCTTCCTTTCTTCCTTATTCGATTTTTATCAAAGTGATACACTTAAATGATTTCTAAAGAATGGTTTTTAAAGAACTATGGGTGGTGGTTGTACCATAGTGTGAATATACTACATGCCACTAAACGGTTCACTTTGAAATGGTTACTTTTATGTTATGTGAATCTCACCTAGAATTTTTAAAAAATTAATTTTAACAAAAAATATTATTTGAACAACAGATCAAGACTTGGCGAAGAAAGGAATGGAATGGGCCGATGCAACGTAAATGGCTTCAGCCTGTTCAGAAGGCGCCCGAAAGGGTGTCTATTCCACCATGTAACCTGATAACCCCATGCATGGAATTTTGCCATTGTGGAGACAAACTTTAAATACAAAGGGAAAAGCCTACATACAAATAACTTTGGTCTTTTTGCTTATTAGCATTGCTATTATACTGAATATCTGGTTAGTGCATTTGTTACTGAGCCAGACGGTCATCAGGTGCTTAGCAAACACTTATTAAATGACTTCACGTCATGAAGGACCTCCCCCCTCCACACCCCTCCCAGACAACACTCCCCTTCCATTTCCCAAAAGGAGGTTAGCCAGGCCCCCAACCTGTTGACCTCTTCATGCCTTGAAGTTGAGCAAGTGCCACAGGTATGGTGGCCATGCTTGGAGGCCGGATCTGAGTCACTCACTGCCCCCAGGAAAGTCGCAACCTGGCTGCTGCGGCCTCCACACGCCTTGATGTGGTCAGCATCCCTGTCACACCTTGAGGAGTTGTGAGCGAGGGATGACTGTGTTCCGATGCACAAAGGGAGCTTGAGAAAGCGGAGTTCTGCGTCGGGTAGGATTCCTTCATCCATTCACCTGTTCATTAACTCAACAGATCTTTATCAACCACCTATCAGGTGCCAGGCACTGTTCTAGACCTTGAAGGTGACAGAGGTCCCCGAGGCATATGACTCAGGGGTCTGTCATTCTAGTTGGGGAGACAGAAAATGGACAAGGAAAAACAAGACCTAACCTAACAGTAAACAGTTGAGGGGCCGGGGTCGGGTTGGGAGGCGTGATCCCGGAGGGCTTCTCGGAGGCGGTGACCTTGAGGGACAAGAAGGAGTAGAGGCCGGCGAGCCTGGCCGACTGAGTTCCGGCTGATTCTAGACTTTCCGCGTCAGACGTCCGGGCGGAGGGCCCGGGGCCGGCACCACGACCAGGAGGATCTGAGCGCAGCGGCGCAGTACCAGCAGCCGAAATAGCTCAGTTGGGAGAGCGTTAGACTGAAGATCTAAAGGTCCCTGGTTCGATCCCGGGTTTCGGCAGCCGCCTTTTTTTTTTTTTTTTTCCTTTTTATAAACAACGAAAACCGGTTGAAAACAATCACCCGAACAGAGGAGGCTAATTCTTCCCAATTAATAAACGGTTTCACTTTCTTCAGAACAGCTCCGATTGGTGCCCACGGGAAACGGGAGCGGCGGGGACCTTGCGCGCCGCGTGGCAATTCCAACGAGGCAGTTTCTCGGGACTCCGTTTCTCGCCTTTCGGAAACGCTTCTTCATCTGTCACAGGTTTGTTGATGTCTGCTCGTTAATTTGGGATTTCTGGGTATGAATTTCTGTACCCCGAACCCGCGCGACTAAATCAAGCACCGAGCAGGAGACAGCCTCCGTAAGACGGAGTTAAATCAAGTGGGACTTCATTTTCGGTTTCGAAACGGAAAAAAAAAAACCGTAAAGTAAAATATGAAGCCCTTTGCCGCGTATTGCTACACAGGGGAGCTTGAACGTGCCTTCAAAGGGGAACCTGAAAGCGCTCGCGTAGGGCCAGTCCTCGTTAGTATAGTGGTGAGTATCCCCGCCTGTCACGCGGGAGACCGGGGTTCGATTCCCCGACGGGGAGGCGTCTGTGCTTTTACAAATTCTCAACTACTATTTTCACTGCTCTTCCCAGCAAAGCAGAGTCTCCCACGTTTCAGAAACTCTGCTCTCCGAGCGAGTAAACCTACCCGGCCGAAATCAGCCCCGGGTCCCCTGTATCCCACGGTTCCAAGAACAAGACCAAGGTCTCTCACCCGGGCGTCTCCCCCCACCGCCACCGCCACCGCCACCCCCACGCCCCCAGCGCTGCAGTGAAGTCCTGTCCTTGCACAGCGGGTCCCAGGACGGGACGGTCAACCTCCAAGGCCGGGAAGTGCTGCTTCCGCTGCGAATACTCCCCTCTCCTGTGACTTGCTCCGGGCCAGGCTGGCCCTCGGAAAATGTTTATGGATTCGAGACCCGAGGCCTGGGGACCCTGCACGGAAACGTTTTCTTGTCTTAACTTCGTTGCAGACTCCTTCCTGGGTCAGCTCTCAGCCTCCCCAGGCTGCTCTTCCTCCGTTAGTTTTGGTCACATTCAGTTTGCAAATATATGCTGAGCGCTTATTAGGGGCCAAGGCACTGTTCTAGGCACTGGGGCCAGTGGCCCGGCCCCTGCCCTACTGAGCTTATGACACCGACAATAAACAAATAGTATTAAAAAAAAAAAAAAAAAAGGCTCCCAGAGAGACAAATACTGCGAAAGAAGAAAGAAAAAAAAAGGGAGGGCACACTAAGGAGTGTGTGGGATTCGCAGGCCCAAATAGTGAGGCGGACAGGAAGGCCCTGGACAGGGAGAAGGAGCTACTCATGAGAGGGTCTGGGCAGGTGCAAAGGCCCTGAGGTGCAAAGGAGAGCAGTGTACCTGCGGAACAGCAAAGCGCATGTAGGAGGCGGAGAGAAGGAAGGGATAAGGTCAGAGGCTAAACTAAGGAGTTTGGATTGCGTTCTAGCGTTTCCTCTAGAGAGGAAACATACTCGGGTTTGTTTTGAGCAGAGCAGTCTGGCAAGAGAGCAAGCAGGGCCACCTGCTAAACCGAACACAGCTCGTTCCCAAACCTCGTCCAAGATAACGCCACCTACGGTGCCATCCCTCCAGGCCCGGCCAAGGTCTGTCCTCGCCAGAGGGCACATAACCACAATGGCATTTGCCAGCCTGAGAACCCACGCTCGGGCACCGGCCTTGTACCAGGCGCTGCTCTAAATGCTCAGTGGCCACGCGCGCCCTGGGGAGGAGGTACTACTCAGATCTCCGTTTTAGGGATGAGGCCCGGGCAGGTGGGGGTAGGAAATCACACTTGCCCGGCAGGTGTCCTGGGCACCAGCTCAGTTAGGCCATTACCTGTGAGGCTTTCAGGCATCAGTGGGCTGGAAGGGAGCTGTCCTCAAGGGGACAAAGCAGGACAATTTAGGGTGTGTTCTCCCCATCGCAGTAAGTGACTCTTCCTGCCAGGAAATCTCAAGCACTGATGGAAAGAGGTAAAGACTCAATTTTCTGTGCTCTCCCTGCCTTCATCCATCCCTCCACCACCGCGTGGCCCCTTGAGGACCCAGAGGACGCTCCGTACTGTCTCCCTGAGGCAGGTTCATAAACACCCCGCATTCTGGAAGAGAGGGGTGCTGAGTGACAACGAAAAATGGTTCTTTTTGGCGGGCTATTGCAAAGTGATTCCTCCCTCAGAGCCCTGATTCTGGAGCTGTTTCTTTTTAATTTGCTTATTTTTATATGCAGGAGAGTGCTCTGGGAATACGGGGTGCGGGGGGGGGGGTTGGGGAGGAGCGAGGAGGGGAGTCTACAAATCTCAAAGTTACTGAAGGTTGGAATATTTTTTATTAAGTCTTTAATTTTAATGCCAGTATAGTTAACATAGGGTGTTATTTTAGTCTCAGGTGTACAAGGCAGTGATTCAACAATTCTGTGCTTTACTCGATGCTCATGATGATACGTGTACCCTTAATCCCCATCACCTACTTCACCCTGGAATGGTTTTAAAGGGCAGGGGACCAGACATCTCTGGATGGAGGTTCAATCAAGGCGATGCCCTTAATTTATTGGAAATAAACTCATTTTCTTTCTTTTTTTTTTCCTGCGATGAGCAACATTTAAAAATAGATCTCTTTCCTTTTGTTCCTTGCTTCTAGAATCAGCTAGCATTTCAATTGCAAGGCTGTGTTAGAACGGGTCTGTCTGGGAAGATTTATTTTTGGTTTGTTTATGCTAAGCCTCAACACACATTTAATTATACAACACTTTAATTTAGACGAGAATCCCAAGAATAGTGTATTGCAGAGAATTTCAGGAAGCCAAGCAAAAGGGGAGGGGGATGTAGCTCAGTGGTAGAGCGCATGCTTTGCATGTATGAGGCCCCGGGTTCGATCCCCGGCATCTCCACTGTTTGTTTTTGTTTTTGTTTTTGTTTTTTCCTTTGGATTCTCATTTTCTGCTTTTCTTCTTCATCATTAAAGTGCTCACTATGCTGATCATTACCCCTCCCTCTGGTCACCACTTGGAGATGGGACTTTCACAGTAGGCACAGTCCCCCTTTCGTGAAATCCATGACACTCCTTATGTACTTTTGTCAGAAGAGGCTGAGGGGAGCTGCTAGCAGAAAAATGTAAACTTGATGATGGAAACACAGCACACGAATGAGAAGGAGCAACTGGTGAGGTCACAGTCCCTTTCCTGGCACTGTGACTGCAGTAAAAGTCCCCAAGGACTGGTGACTGATGCCCCGCCATCAGAGGGCAAGTGTGGAAGTCGCTCAAAGGTCTGACTGCTGGCCCTTGCCCTTTATCTGTGCTGTCAATTACCAACCACTTTGGGAGCGACCCCAGGGAAAACCAGCATTTCAGGCCAGCAGGATTTTACTTCCTGCTTCATCAGCAACAGGCCACAAATGAACGAACGAACGAACGAATGAATGAACGAATGAATGGCTTTGATGCACATATTGTCCCTATTTATATTTACACATGATGTATTTTATTGTTAAAGATGAAAGATGCATTTCATTGAAAGAAGGGACCCCATGGCCTTCTGTGGGTTCAACTCTTTCTCTGCAGTAACGAATTCCTCACTCAGCAGGTCTGTGTCTCACATGATTTGACCTGATACATTAAATCATAAAAACATCTCATCTTAGATCCGGAGGGATGTGACTCTTTGCAAAACCTTCACTTTTGGGATGAAATTGAAATCTGTGAAATGACTCACCGGTTGGGTGGTGGCGTTTTGGTGACAGGCCCTGTTTCTAAACGAGCTGCCGGGAAGGTGATTTCTCTTCAAATGTCAACAAGGTGTTAAGGGAACAAAATGTTGAGGTAATTTCTAAAGTTATCGGGCCTAACACGAAACTAATTGTATGCTTCTGTTTTACTCTGTATCTTATCATTAAATATTTCTGATAGCACACCGGTAAGGCAAAAATAAAACCCCATAAGCCTCGTTGGGGAATGTAGCTTGCTAGAAAAGTGGTTGTGAATCTTTGAAACACATGTCTTTTTCAACTCTTATATTTTATTGTACACTTAAGAACAAAGCCCATCATAGGACATTGCTGGGGCAGTCAAGTTCATGCAGACGGAAAGCAGAAGAGTGGGTGCCAAGCTCTGGGTGAAGGGGGAGATGGGAGTTCTTAAAACGGGGCCAGAGGGTCAGTCTTGCAAGATGAAAGAATTCTGGAGATGACTGGAGGTGACGCAGCGTGAAGGTTGAGGGCACCAGAGTATGTTAGCCGAGATTATTTTCAGCTGAAGGCACTTAAGAACAGATGCTGGGAGAGGCTGTGTCTGAAGTCCCCGTATGTGCCAACACACAGATCCTCCCAAGGTCAATGGTCAAGGATAACCCTCTCCGGAGCTTCATCAACCAGGGAAGATGGGCTCCTCTCACAGGGGACTAGACGTAAGGACGCCACACGGTCACACTATCCTAACTCCCGTCTACCCTATTGTCTTTCCTAAAAACCATTTACTGCCCCTTGAGGGGCCTATATCCCCCTCCTCTTTCCCTATTCAGATGGTATTTAGGCTTAGATTCTAAAACCACCTCTGAGTTACTCATTTTGTCCTGGGTATCTCCCACGTATATGCGTGACATCCACGTTAATAAACTTCTGGGGATTTTTCTCTCTTGTTAATCTCTTTCACCACAGAGGTCTCAGCTAAGAACTCAGAAGGGTAACGGGAAAATTATTTTTCCTCCCCCACAGCATACCTCATGATGTGGAAAATGCTGGCGTTGGGAGCCAATGGCCAAGAAAGAATTCTCGAGACTCTTTGGTGCAAAAAGATGGTTTTATTAAAGCACAGGGACAGGACATGTGGGCAGAAGGAGCCGCACTAGGGTCTTAAAGAGGGGCCCATTACACACTTTCAAGTCGAGAGGGGGTTAGGGACAGCACAAGTGTCCACGGTATTTTGGAAAAAAGGTTTCCTACTGTTAGGAAAAGGTCATTTACTACCTTCCTACCTCCAGTAAAACCTCAGTACGAGCCCCTTCAGATGTACATCTGTGGGCGCTGTAACTTTAGAGTCTGATTGCTAACATACATCTTCGGGGGTGGGGGAGAGATAAAAGAAGTTTCCAAAGGAAGTTTTAAGCAGTTTTATTTACTTTTTAGAATTTATTACTTTTTAGAATTTATTTATGAGAGACCATGTAAGGGAGGGGCTGAGAGAATCCCAAGCAAGCTCTGTGCTGCCAGCAAAGAGCCCAACGCAGGGCTCAAAATTCCAGAAATGGTGAGATCACCACCGGAGCAGAAACCAAGAGGCCCATTCTTACACGACTGAGCCCCCCAGGGACCACCCCCAAAGGAATTTTTATATGTGAAAGGAGACTTACAGGATTAAGATTGCCTCTTGCCCTTAGCAAAGTAGGCGGCTGAGCTCCTAGAGGAAGGTCACTCTGTTTCAAGGACTTGTCAGGAAATTTAATTTTTTTCATTGGCCTTTGTTTCCCGCATCAGCGAACACTACTGAACTGTACTCTTCAAAAACGGTTAAGATGGCGAATTTTGTTATGTGTGAATTTTGTTATGTGTTGTGTATGTCGCCACAACTGAAAAACAACGAATTACACACACACACACACACACACACACACACACACACCCACCCACCCACCCAACAGGTTAACTAACTCCTTAACCTTCCTACAGTAGGCATAACTGAGGACTGGAACTTTTAAGTCCGATTGTAGGATGGGTGGGGTATGAAACCGGTTATTTTTAAACTGGAGCCGGCTGTGATCAGCCACACGAGGCAAAGGCACACCCGTAAACAGGAAAAAGAAGAGTCCCTTGGGTTCTTCTTCCCCCCTCGAAGCTGCAGATACCTTTGATTACCTTTTATGGTTACACAACCAGTGACAAAGCAGGGCGAACGTTTCCCAGCCAGCTCGTGACGTCACCCTCTCCCCCGCCGATCGGTGTGCCCTTGGATTTTCTCATGATGCGGAGTGAAGTCCCATGCGTGGCTGTGACCTTCGGGGGACCCACATCCTTGGGGGACGGAAGAAAGGCAGGCAGGCAGACGGGCACCAGTCCCACCAGCGCCGCCCCCCCCCCCGCTCCCCCGCCCCGCAGCCCCGCACCCCAGGCGCTTTGTGAGCTCAGCCCGTCACGTGCCCGCGCCCCTCGGGCGGGGTCGCCGGGCCCCCGCCACTCTTACTTCGGTGCCAGCGCAGAAGCAGTCGCTTCTGGGGCGCTTGCAAAGGGCGGATCTGGGGGGCGGAAGGCACTGAAAATGGATCCAGTGACTCACCCTGCATCGCGCACATTCTAGCACATTACATTCTAGGTCAGGGGGTTTCAGGTTCCAGGAACGTGCCTGGACACCCGATTCCTGAGTCCAAGTGGGACGTGGGGGTTTGGGGGAGGCTTTCTCAGCCAAGGGCAACACCCCCCTGGAGGGCAGGGTTTCTCGGCCTCCTGACTTTCCGGGCGTCGCTGACCTTGGGGGCTGGGTGACTGTGGTGCTGGGGGCGGGGAGCAGCATCCCCGACCTCTGTGACTTCTGTGACCGCGTGCCCCTAGCACCGGCTCCTTCCCCCTCCCCCCTGCTCTGAGAAACGCCAGCCAATCGCTCTCGTTTTCGCGTCCTGTCCCTGTCACCCCAGTGCCCTTGGACACGTGTTTACTTCTGTACCCTCTGCTGGGCTGACGGAACGCAGGGGTGTCGCAGAGAATCGTTTTCCCCGCTGCAGACATCAGCGTTCCCGGCTCCCCGGAGCCCGCTCCCACCCTCCGAGCCTCTCTCGGTCCTCCCCTTCCTCCTCCTCTCCCTTCCGGGTCTCTGAAGTCAGGCCTGTTTTTCTCTGTACCTTCCGGACTCTGGAAAACGCCGTGTCGCAAAGCTCGTGACTCAGCCTTCCCACAGCAGGAGTCACGAGGCCTGCGGCAAAAGCCACAGCCGCAAGCAAGCGAGCGGGGTGCGGTTGGGAGCTAGGCCGCCCGCCTCGGAGAGACCCTCAGCTGCGGCCTCGGGACCACCTCCGAAGAGCCGCCATGTTTCTGTTCCTTTAAAACCCCTTTCCACGAATAACCTTCCCAAAAACCTGGATGGGGAAGTTAGTGGCCTCTCCTAACCCCCCCGGATGACATTTTGCTTTTAATCTTCGTTTAAATTTCCCAGTAATAAATTCATTCTCTTCGAAAGATACTAAAATTACAAAGGCGATTCTGAACTCTTCATCAGGCCTTTTTCATAAATACCTACATGGGTTGCCAAAGAAAACACACAGCAGTTTCGCTTTGATTCACATTTTAAGGGGCTTTAAATAATAGTGATCATAATTTAAAATAAGAATAAGTCCTTTCTTAATGGTAGAACATTTTTTAGGACCCCCCTTTTTTTTAAGGCTTTGAGGATAGAAATTAAAATATCCTCTCCTCCTCCATTTTGTGCAGACATTTCTGGAAGAGTCCAGAAGGGGCAGTGGCTGGGGAATTGAGTACAGGAGGGAGACTTTTCGCTGTAAACTTCTGAAAACGTCTTTTAAGTTTCCACTGTGTTCATGTATTTTACAAACACTTTAAAAAAAATGTTGGGGGCACCTGGGTGGCTCAGTCTTTTAACCGTGGGACTCTCGAATTCGGTTCAGGTCGTGATCCCAGGGTCGTGGGGTTGAGTCCCGGGTCCGTCTCCGCGCTAAGCCAGCTAGGGATTCTCTCTTACTCTCTGCCCCTCTCCTCCTCAAGTGAGCGCGCTCTCTCTCTCAAAAATAAAATATAAAATAAAAATAATAAAAGTATGCCAAAAAATGACACACAGAAATCACAAAATGGATGGTTGTAAAAATAAAAAAAGATCTGGCTGGTAATCTTTTCTCTTTTATTCAAATGGAATCCAGGACAGAATTAAATTTCACGTTTGTGATATTAAATTGTACCCCTCCCCCCACATACAGGAATTCGGTCTGTATTTTCAAATTCAGGCTTAAGTCGGTTCCACTTCCGTGTTCCTCTGAGTATCAACAAGAATGAAACCTGAGGCCTCCTTGTTGGTGTTCAAGTACAATCTTCTCAAACCCAGAGCTGCGCCCATGGAACAGGAAAGCTCAAGAACAATCTAGAAAGTGCTGCAGGTGTCCAGAGGCGCCTCAAGTCGGCTGACAAAGCGTGAGGGTTTCGGCCCTTCTCTTCACACGTCAGCGTGGAGGGGCCGGCGGCGCTTCCCCGACGACCCCAGGCGGGGGAGTCAGGGCGGCCCCGCCTCGGCCCGCGAAGTGTCGAGTCATCCGTCCTGTCAGCGCGCCCGCGCGGGGGATGGGCGGCCGCCACAGCGGGGGGTGGGGGGAGGGCCGCCGGGTTCTGGTGACACGCCAACACCCCGCGATCCTCAGCGCGGCCTCGCGCGAAGACCCCTTGGGTCCGCGGAGGGGAAGGGGCGCGTGAGGCCTGAGCCCCCTACGTCGGGGGCGGGCCTCGGCGGCGGCGGGGACCGTTGGCGCTGAGGGGAGGGGGCGTCGGGGCCGAGCCCGCTCCGGGCGCCCGGGAGGCTCCGCGCCGGGATTTCGCTCCTCCCGCGGCCCCTCCCTGCCCCGTAGGTCGAGCGCCGGCCGCGTCCGCGGACGCCGCACTCAACAATCGCGCTGATCCCTCCGCGAGGACGCCAAGGACAGCGGCCCCCTCCTCCCCAGACTTTGCCCTGCTGCCCAGTCTCGATAGTACTCCATTGCAGGGGGCCTCTTAGAGGACTTGGGGGTGCTGCTTTTTCTCTCCTGGGGGAGGCAGGAGGAGCTGAGAAAAGTAGTCCCTTCTCGGCCTTTCTGCGGAGGGATCTGTCAGAGCCGTGCCACCGACTGCTATATAAGGAGGTGCCGGGTGTGGCGTAGGCAGTTCCGTGGAGGCCGGGAGTTCTGTTGCGGTTTTGCTGCCTGAGTCGCTGTCACAGCCGCTTGGTGAGGACTGGGTGGCTTCCCCGGCCCGGGGCTCTTGCGGTCCGGAGGCCGCTGGGGAGGCGGAGGGTCGCGCAGCCTCCGAATGTTAGTCGCTCGCGGCCGGCGAGCAGGGTTGTGCTGAGGGGGCAGGGACGCAGAAAATGGCGCCGGTGCCCGCTGCGGGGGTGGGGGAAGCGGGGCTGTGAGGCGGGCTGTGAGAAGACGGGAGGAAGGGGCTGGTAGTGGAAGAGAGCGCGACGGGCCCGCGAGGGTCTAACAGCCCTCTGTTGGGGTTCCCTGCGCCACGGGGGTTGGGGGGTCCTCTAACGTCTGCAGGCCGCCCTGGCACGAGACTGGATTTCTCGTCGCAGGGAGGGGAACGCTGCGGCGGTGCAGCCCCGCGTCCGCTCACGGTGCCGGTCACGTGATGTCACTCCTGTGTGGGCGCACAATCCGGGGTGGGGCCGCCCACTGCTGCTTGTGTAGCTCGCTTCTGTCACTCGTGAGACACAAGGTTCGGGCTTGGGGGAGGCCCTGCAGAATTGTCAGGGGACAGACCTCAGTGAGGGGGGAGGGGAAGAGAGGTGAGGCAGCACCTTCACTCGACCGGTATCCTTCCTCTCATGCTCTGAAGCTGGGCTGTTGAGCTTTTATGTTCTAATTCGTTTTGGGTTGGTGGGGTTTTTTTTTGTTCGTTTTTTATGGTTATGTGAGAGGGAGCATGTGAGGGGTTGGGGAGAGAGGAGGAACAGAGGGAGGGTGAGAGCATCACAAGCTGGCCCCGAGTTGGGGTCAGTCTCCTGAAACTGTGAGATTATGACTTGAGCTGAAACCAAGGATCGGGTGCTTGGTATATTGAGCCACCGAGGTACTTCTGCTATAATTAGGTTTCTCAGGCAAGGTTTATCTTTATCATTGGGCCGACGTAAAATGATGTGTAGGGGCCTGGGTGGCTTAGTGTTTGAGTGTCAGACTCGGACTCAGATCATGATCTCACAGGTAGTGGGTTCCATCCCAGCTTTGACTCAGCTGATAGCCCAGAGCCTGGAGCCTACTTCAGCTTCTGTGTCTGCCTCTCTCTCTCTCTCCCCTTCTCCTTTCTAGCTCTCATTCTTTCTCTCTTTTTCTAAAACACTAAAAAATAAATGGTGTGTAATTATTAATGTTAGGGATATTTTCAAATGTGAGTTGTCTACTACAATTTTGTGTTTTTTGTACTTGTTTTTTTGGTGACAGACCATGCAGATCTTCGTGAAAACCTTGACAGGGAAAACCATCACCCTAGAGGTGGAGCCCAGTGACACCATCGAGAATGTCAAAGGGAAGATTCAGGAAAAAGAGGGCATCCCCCCTGACCAGCAGAGGCTGATCTTTGCCGGGAAACAGCTGGAAGATGGGCGCACCCTGTCTGACTACAACATCCAGAAGGAGTCCACTCTGCACCTGGTCCTGCGCCTCAGAGGGGGCATGCAGATCTTCGTGAAGACCTTGACAGGCAAGACCATCACCCTGGAGGTGGAGCCCAGTGACACCATCGAGAACGTCAAGGCCAAGATCCAGGACAAAGAGGGCATCCCCCCTGACCAGCAGAGGCTGATCTTTGCCGGGAAACAGCTGGAAGATGGGCGCACCCTGTCTGACTACAACATCCAGAAGGAGTCCACTCTGCACCTGGTCCTGCGCCTCAGAGGGGGCATGCAGATCTTCGTGAAGACCTTGACAGGCAAGACCATCACCCTGGAGGTGGAGCCCAGTGACACCATCGAGAACGTCAAGGCCAAGATCCAGGACAAAGAGGGCATCCCCCCTGACCAGCAGAGGCTGATCTTTGCCGGGAAACAGCTGGAAGATGGGCGCACCCTGTCTGACTACAACATCCAGAAGGAGTCCACTCTGCACCTGGTCCTGCGCCTCAGAGGGGGCATGCAGATCTTCGTGAAGACCTTGACAGGCAAGACCATCACCCTGGAGGTGGAGCCCAGTGACACCATCGAGAACGTCAAGGCCAAGATCCAGGACAAAGAGGGCATCCCCCCTGACCAGCAGAGGCTGATCTTTGCCGGGAAACAGCTGGAAGATGGGCGCACCCTGTCTGACTACAACATCCAGAAGGAGTCCACTCTGCACCTGGTCCTGCGCCTCAGAGGGGGCATGCAGATCTTCGTGAAGACCTTGACAGGCAAGACCATCACCCTGGAGGTGGAGCCCAGTGACACCATCGAGAACGTCAAGGCCAAGATCCAGGACAAAGAGGGCATCCCCCCTGACCAGCAGAGGCTGATCTTTGCCGGGAAACAGCTGGAAGATGGGCGCACCCTGTCTGACTACAACATCCAGAAGGAGTCCACTCTGCACCTGGTCCTGCGCCTGAGGGGAGGTGTCTAAGACCCCCCCCCCCCGTAAGCTCTGACCAAATTCGTTGCACTTTTCTTTCAATAAAGTTGTTGCATTCCCAAATGGTGTGATTTTTTTGGTGGGGGAGGGGTTCTTTTTAGTATGGATGGGGTTTGAATGATCAAGGTAGTCTTATCAAATGAGTCTAGTAACCAGGAAGTAAGAAAGGTCACTAAAAATGGGAGGTTGCAGTTAGAATTCTCCCTGCGGGACGTCTATAGCTATATTTATAAACGTCTGGTTTTAAAATACTGAACATAGGCTTGGTTTGTGAGATACCAGAGAATGGGAAAGTTCTGCGGTGTCAGCAGTCAAGAGATTCTAAAAAGGGTGGTAGTGGCAGATACTGTAGGTGGAACCTCTAGAAGAGCCTGGTGTTAATACATAGCTCTATTTCACACTGAACTACACAGAAAGTTGATGTTTTTAAAATAATGGCAAGTAATGTCTATTAAAAAGTGTGTCTGGCTTTGTGCATAAAAGTAGGAATTCGTGGTTATTTAGATCAGGAAAGTTACTGATTGAAGTGTTAAAATTGCTGAGATAAGTTGTCAAGGCGATCCTCAATTTCATGTGACTACAGATGGTTTTGTATTTAATGGGTGGGAGAGGCAACTGCCTCTTGGTCTTCATTTAGGCGAGTTTATAGCAGTTTTTACCCAGTCAGATCCTTGTGTCATCACTGCAAACAAAGGTGGAAGTCCACAGAAACTTGTTTAATGTAGGGAATTGACACCGGTTGGTAGGTGGCCCAGAAATCAACTATTTAATTACTTTAAAGAAGGGGCTACTCTCCAAAACACCACTGCCTTCCACTTCCCTAGTTTTAGGGTATTCACGTGTAATCTTGGATGTATAAGAAATTTTTGTATTGTCTACCAAAAGTAAAATAGCTTAAATCACCAGTCAGCTTTAGGGATTAAACTAGAAAATGCCTTTTGAGAAATCTATTACGGCTTAGGCAAATCCATTAATTTCAACTTTATTGTTACAAGCACACAAAATGTACCGTTATTTTCCATGATGTGCCCAAGTAAGTTGACATAGATACCAAGAAACAAGATAGCCCCAGGAACTCCACTAGCATCTGTAACCACTGTGGTGTAAATTAGGTGCTCATTCCCAACTGGTTGTAGTATAGGAAAACCCCAAAAGCATCTTGAAAATGACTACTCTGCAGGACAGGCGACATGTGGTTCTTAAGTAATGGTGAGAGTTCCGTTTTGAACTAGGCTCTTAGCCTTGGGAGGGCTTGAACCTTGAGATTGAAACCTGAACTGAGATCAAGAGAGGTGCTTAACCAACAGGCACCCTTGATGAGTGAATTTTTTAAATATTTTTGAGAGCACACAAGTGAGCAGGGGAGGGGCAGAGAATGAGAGGGCAGAGGATCTGAAACAGGCCCTGAGCTGACAGCAGAGAGCCCCGATGTGGCACTCAACTCAAACCGAGAGATCGTGACCTGAGCTGAAATTGGACACTTAAGCAACTGAGCCATCCAGGTGCCCCTTGAGTGGTTCTTAAGAGTTTTCCAGGGTTGTCTGTATGGCTCAGTGGAGTGTGTAACTCGATCTCAGGGTGGTGAGATTTTGCTCCCAAATTGGATATAGGGATTAAAAACCAAATCTTGAAGGTACAAGAGATTCAGGGGCTACTAATAGTTCTTGGGAATATGGGGCTGGGTTGTATTGTTACAGCCCAATGTCCCTTAAGACGGAGACCCTTAGTGTCTTGTGCAGAGATGGGGGGGTCTTGACATTGGAGCATAAGATCATCAGAGCACCAGTCTAATAAAGCTAACCTTGGTGGGGATGCTCCATTGCGAACTCTGGAAGAACACTTGGTTCCTTGAACTAAAGTGCTGCCTGTCAAGTTTAATGAAAAGAATTGCTAATTACAAGTGTAAATACTAGAAACGTTTTGAAAACCAGTAACAAGCACAGGGGCGCCTGGATGGCTCTTGATTTCTACTCAGGTCATGATCTCATGGTCTGGATTGAGCCCCAGGTTAGGTTCTGCTTGGGATTGTCCCTTTCTCTCTGCCACTTCCCACTTGTGATCTCTCCCTCTCTCTCAAAATAAACATTAAAATTTTTTTTAAAAGATAAGTAGAAGCACATTAAAATCAATGATGTAGAAAGTGAAAGTTCCATATAAGCTTACTCTCAGAAATGAATTTGAAATATGTTTGCTGCTTATTTAATTACAAGGTATTACATACATGGCATAAAGTCCAAGATAGTCCCCTAAGTTCCTAATTATTTCCTGGTGATAATTACTTTTAAGGTTTGGTTCTTTTTTGGACTTTAAGATAAATACACCATAGTTACTTATATACACACATATGTGCACACAGAAATAGGATCATTTGCAATGCAGCGCTTCTCAGCTTTAAGCTGTGTAATTATGGACATTTTTTCATGCTACCATATCTAGACCTACCTTGTTGTTTTTAATACTCTTGGTATTCCATTTATATGGATGCCCTAAAATTGATTTAACCTTTCCACCACTTGTTTCCAGGTGTTTGCTGCTACAGTGCTGTAGCAAAGTCATCGTATACACCTATCTTTTGTATACTAATATTTTGAAAGTATGGCATAAATAACGAGATTTCTGCATAACAAGATTCTCCAGGATAATTAAAAATCAGCCTTAGAACTTAACTTTTAAAACTAATTTGCTGTCCCGTAGTACTTTTCTATTTTTAATTTTTTGAGTAGGTAATACTTTTCATGTATTCCGATACCTAAAAAGTTTAAAACCGTGTATAACAAGTCTTCCATGCTGTCTTCCATCTACCTGGTTCTCCACTCCCCTCATTTCCTCCCTCCCCACGCACTTTTAGAGTTTATACACATACAGGCAACCACTAATTCTCAATATCCCCTGCCACAAAAAGTGGCCTACTGGCTTGCAGTCTCCTGCACCTTGCTTTTTCACTTTACATCTTTTATAGTTTTGACCGAGTTCTAATATCCTCTCATTTTGTGTGAAGGAAAAACACCTTTTATTTCATTTCCTCAAAAATAAAGTCACTAAACCAGCATAACCCCTAGTGGAACATGTACAGGCCCCTCTTGTAATTACAGAACACAGTGATGAGTAGGAAGTGTTTCTGCCATTTGGGCATCCTCAGTCGAGTTAAAGAACAGGGATGATAGACTTGTTTAGTTTCACTGAGTGGTTTAACATCTCAGAGCACCCCGGATTTTGCTTTCACACATGAATTAATGCTAGGGAAGGATTCACGTACATAGATGCAGTTATGAGTCTTGAATAAACTAGAAGAAAAGCACATGGCTTGCATTTATTGGTTTAGTTTTATTTTTTAAAAATATTCATTTATGAGAGACAGAGTGGGAGCAAGGTAGGGGCAGAGAGAGGGGGGAGACATAGAATTCGAAGCAGCTCCGGGCCCTGAGCCGCCAGCACAGAGCCCGACGCGGAGCTCGAACCCACAAGATGTGAGATCATGACCTGAGCTGAATTCGGACGCTTAACCGACTAAGCCACTCAGCCACCTCTCGCATTTATTTTAAAGTAGTGTTCCTCTTCATGTTTTGTCTGAAGTCACAACAGAATCCTCGCCAAGTTATAAATACGGCCCTCCTAGAGGTGTGCTGCTTAGATTGGCAAGTGCCTTTCAGGGATCGGCCACCTCAGTGTGCAGTGCTTGTTTCTGCCAGAAGAGGGAGCCCCTAGGACGGGCTTTGGTTTAGCCATGAGGCCCGCAGCGCCTCCAAGCGGTTGTGGTTGACCAAACAATTTACACTTTTACCTTCCTAGTGACGCTTTTTACTGTCTCACCCCCTTCCTCCCCCCGCCCCCGCCCCAATGCCTTATACTTTCTGCTTTTTCTTCCAGTCCTGCAGCCACTTCCTTTTCCACCCCAGTTGAAATTACTCCACAACATCTAATGTAGCCGTTATTCAATGTAGACCCTCTATTTTTGACTCTCTCTCATCAGCTAGAACCCCTCGGAATACTCTCTTCCTTGCTTCCCTTACCTGCTGGCCGCTTTCTTTTCTCCATATCCTCCCTGCCATTTTCCGCCTTTCTCCACTCAAGCTGCTGCCTCTTTCTAAAATACCACCACCCCGACCTCAACATATCAAATCCTAGCCAATGTCAAGACCTACTTAAAAGGTTGGTTGCACAAAGCCTTCCTTGAATGTCCGGACTGGGCATCATCTGAAGTCTCTGGAATCTAGCTCTAATTTTGTATTGAAGTTCTTTATTCAAACAAGATAGCCCTGTTCCTTTACTTGACAATAAATAACTGCACACAGCGGCAGAGATGATCAGATCGAATGGGAGAAGTCTGGGATCCTACTTACGATCTGATGGTGAGTAGAGGCTTTCTGGGAGGAGACTCCTTAAATGAGACCTGAAAGATGAGTGGAGGCGGCTCTGCAGAAGATGGTGCAGCACAAGGTAGTGCGGGAGCCCTGGGGGTGGCGGGGTTTGGCATATGTGAGGAGCAGAGAGGAGATCAGCATGGCTAGAATGCAATAAGCTAGTGGAGAGACGGGGCCGGAGGGCTTTCAACAGATAGCTAAATGCTTGGTCTGGAAGGGGGCTCAGGCATCAGCGTTTAAAAAAAAAAAGCTCTCCTTGTGGATCTAAAGGTGTAGTCAGGGTTGGGAACCACTGTTGTAAAGTGTTGCTATTGTCCAGTGGGTGGAATCCTTTTTATTCAAACTGGTAGCAAAGAACTGTATTGAGGAAGTTCAAATCTATTTTTAAAAATGGTTTTTTATTTTATTTTTTTTAAGTTTATGTATCTTGAGAGAGAAAATGTGAGTGGGGGAGGGGCAGAGAGAGAGAGAGAAAGAGAGGGAGAGAGAAAATACCAAGCAGGCTCTGCACTGTCAGCACGGACCCTGATGTGGGGCTCGAACCCATGAACCCTGAGATCATAACCTGAGCCGGTATTAGATGCTTAACTGACTGAACCACCCAATGCCCCTAAAGATTTTATTTTTAAGTAATGTCTACACCCAAAATAGGGCTTGAACTCATAACCCTGAGATCAAGAGTCACATGCTCCCTTGATCGAG